AAAATACGGCCAGATTCGTTTATATCCCGTCGAGACGCATCGATTTCATGTGTCGAAAAGTCGATTGGAGCCAATTTTTTTTCGATTTATAAAAATGTTTCTTTGAACGAAATTACACGTCCATTCCTCAATTTCCCACCCCTGAGACCTAATTACCGGCCCGGTAAAAATAGTTATCTAGCTATTGACCCTACGATGATATTTTTTGAGGGTCTACAGGGGCTGGCATTTATGTCCCCGTAAAACGCGTTTTTTTTCGGGGAATTTTCTAGGGACATGTCGGGCAAAAATCCCCCCATCCGGGCCTTAATCTACTGGAGACTGGTCCCACCGAGGGTGAAAAAAATCTGTTGCATATATATGTAAAAAAGGATAGATGCACTAGACGGCACAATTGCGAATAGTGATTGAGTTACATCTGCGCCACGTGTGTCGCACTGACGCGCAGAAGAACGCGCACACGTATTTTCTATATGCGACTTTTGGATGTACATATGTACTTCATATACTTATTGAGAGGGTCCATACACAGAATGTCCCTGAGACGAATAAAGAGGGAAAAGGCAAGAGACGCCAGCCGTCGCGATGCCAGAAACCAGCTGTGCCTCAGCTGTTTTCTATCCATCGACTTGTCTGTTTCCTCGGTTACTTTCTTTTTCTAATCGTCATTCCCATTTTTCTTCCCGTACCTATTTTTATTCCGATCCAAATCGCTCCCCTCGAGATTCTTCTCGAATCTGCAGATTTCGGATGTTATACTTTTTCATTTTCGGTGGGAAAAACTTCCTATCCATTCACCTTCTATTTATTTTTCAAAGAAACTTTCACTGCTTTAACTGTTCAGGCGTTGCGATATGGAGAGTTAAATAATTATTGGAGTCTGAAATTTTTTTCAAAAATCGTCTTTTTTTTACGGCAGCATAAATTGACGATAAATTCAGTGAAGGATTCGGGTAAATTATTAACTTTCGGTGGCAACACACGGATGCAGCTGTTTATTCTTATCGTCCTCACCTGTTCATCCATTCGATACTTTAGCTTTTTCGTTGGTAATCTCTCACGATAGTACACAAGTTTCTCCTAGACTTCCGTTTCCATGGAACCAAAAATTCATTGTGAGTAGCACTTTATTTTCCACCTGTGAAAACATAATGGAGCTGTTGGAGATTTGGATTCTATTCGGGAGGGAATTATTCTGAAAATTAACTTGATTCTCGGGCAAAAGATTTCAGTGGATTAACAGAGCAGAGCTTTGATGCTTTGAAAAAAAAACAAAAAATAGGAATGTCAAACGTTAAAGTTGCTGGGATTGGCAACAGCCAGACTCCTGGAGTTGACACGTTATTCCTGCACAAGTACTCTCTGCACCCTCCAGCAGCTACAAGAGTCAATCCAGTGAAAAAAAAATAAAATAAATAGGACCTCTGAACCGACAATATTTCACCTCTTTATGAGGTACACATCAAGATCTTTACCTCCGATTCTTTAGGGAAACAAAAAATACTGAAAGGAGAATAATTACTATTGGTATCTCCTGGAAATGACGTGCCCTCGAGCATCTAGCTGCATCCATTATATTTCCCGAGAATTCCAATTGTAGAATTCCAGTCTGTCATTGCCATTGCCATTGCCATTTTTGGGAGGACCAATTTTCGAAATGACCCCCTCCAAAAAAGAGAGTTATAAGAAAAATTGTATGCAATTTGTAATCATTATTTGGTAGTTCTGTATTTTTGAGAAATTAGAGCGTTCTTTTTTTTGCGTATTCTTTTTTTTACCTCTGGGGTAAATTTTATTATGAATTTTCGTCGGTGCCGATTGGTTGAGTGACAAGCATCGAAAATTTTTGAAATTGGAGAATTCCCTGAGATATAAATCCAATATTTCCGCTTATAACCCGTAAATTACAAGCGACCGCACGTCCGACACCGCAAAATATAATCGATCCCTCCATCGTGCAATTGACGTCCGATATAATTCTGACCGCTCTACATACGAGCCCTCGAGGTATTTTCACGCGGAGAGAAAAAGTCGAACTGAAAATGCATTTGGCGCACTTGTTTATTTTTTCATGTTTTTTCAAATCCCCAAGTCATTTCAATTGATTTTTCATTCGCCCTTTTACATTTTTTGGGTAATTTTTAAGGTGATGATGCGGGTTTGCAATTTAGAGTTAGAAATTATTTGCGCAGGTGGCACGGACAGGTGAAGGTTTTTGCGGTATTTCCCCGTGTAAATATCAATTTATTGCTATTATTTGGGCAATCAAGTCAGTGTTAAATAAATTCCCCAATTCATTAATTGATATTCTAATCTCTATTATCGATTATATTTTTCACTTCTTCATGAATAAATTCTCTAATTTTCTAATCCTTCATTTTCTTCGACTGTTGAAAATGTTTCGTAACGGAATAGAACAAGGATAAATAGCCAATTGATTGATGAAATTAATTAGCCTGAAATGCTGTAATCATTTTCTATTATCAAAAAATAAATAGTGCGATAATCCCTAGGACACGTTTGTCGAATTGGAAAGGGCAGATGCGCGTGAACGTACCTATTATACACGTATTATTAGCACTTTGTCATGGACCTGTCAAACACATGTACCTACACCTCTTGAATCACGTGGATGTGTGAATTCCATTTTATTTTTTTTTTGGTTCTTTAATAAATTTTTTTCACCTCTCAATCGCGATATGTGATGTACGTGCCTGAACTTATTCTGCCCTCAGATAGCAATTAATTTTTTTATTAATTTCATTTCCTACATTTCCCTGGTGATTCGTCCCTGATTTTAAAGTTTCAGAGATTATTTATTAATTTTTTAAAATGCAATCTGATGTAGAAAATTTGAGCAGGTACAGCTATGGTAAAAGTAGAAATGAAATTATTGAGCTGAGATAGCAATTACGATAGTTTGGGAATTTAATTTGCAGTGCGGTAAAGTCGGGAATGTGTCAGGATGGTGAAATAGAAGTGACGGGGAAACGCGTGAGAAGCTATTTCTCAGCTTCATCGGCAGAGCTTTTCTTCACGGAAATATATCGACGCGTCAAGAGCACCCAGAGCCGTTTACAATGTCCTTGTACGTATATATTAGGATAGGATTTCCCTCGATATATCCCATGGAGATTTTCCCCCATTTCCACCTTTTCCCAAATTAAAATCCATCTTTACATATATTATATATATTTTTTCTTATTACATACATCAATTACATCAATTAATTAAATTCTTTATAATAATTAACAACGATAATAATGATAACAATAATATTTTTCTCGTTAGATTTTTATTTGTTATGTTGAAAAATTTTGAAATATACTAGAAAGAATGTGAATTTGAAATAAACTTTAAAGGATTACGAGTCTTTCATGGGAAAAGAAAAATGCACAAGGAAAAAACATAGACCTGAAAAAATAATAATAATCACTTTAAAAAAAAAGCAGGTGACCTTTTTGTCAGCTTTTTTCGGTGCATAGTTAAGCTATATATACATATAATATAATATACCATTTTAATGAAATAAGGAGTTGTGTAAGAAAAAAAATATTGTATTTATGTCGATATTAGTCCGAAAAAACAATGAATTTAATTGAGAGATGAAGATAGAATTTTTTTCATTAGGATTAGATGGATATCTTCCATCGTGAAAATTCTTGGGAAAACTCGTGAGTTCTGAGTAGGGCAAACATTTCAGTGAATACCTCCTCGACTTTCATGTTCTCCTAATACTTTTTCGAAAATTTTTAATTTTTAAATTTCAGTGAATACCTCCTCGATCCTCATGTTCCTCTGATACTTTTTCGAAAATTTCGAAATTTCCAATTCCAGTGAATATCTCCTGGATTGCCATGCACCCCTGATATTTATTCGAAAATTTAAAATTTTTCAATTTCAGTGAATACCTCCTCGATCCTCATGCACCCCTGATATTTTTTCGTAAATTTTGAATTTTTTAATTTCAGTGGATACCTCCTTGATCCTCATATTCCCCTGATACTTTTTCGAAAATTTGGAATTTTTCGATTGCAGTGAATACCTCCTCGATCCTCATGTTCCCCTGATACTTTTTCGAAAATTTGGAATTTTTCAATTTCAGTGAATACCTCCTCGATCCTCATGTTCCCCTGATACTTTTTCGAAAATTTGGAATTATTCAATTTCACTGAATACCTCCTCCATTGTCATGCTGCCCTGATACTTTTTCGAAAATTTAAAATTTTTAAATTTCGGTGAATATCTCCCGGATGGTCATGCACTCCTGATACTTTTTCGAAAATTTTGAATTTTTCGATTGCAGTGAATACCTCTTCGATCCTCATGCTACCCCGATACTTTTTCGCAAATTTCGAATTTTTCAATTTCAGTGAATACCTTCTCGCTTTTCATGCTCCCTGATCCTTTTTTAAAAATGTCCAATTTTTAAATTTCAGTGAATACCTCCTCGATTTTCATGTATCAGGAGACCATGAAAATGGAGGAGATATTCAATGAAATTGAAAAATTCGGAATTTTCGAAACAGTATCAGGGGAGCATGACAATTGAGGAGGTATTCACTGAAATTTAAAAATTTAAAATTTTCGAGAAAGTATCAGGGGAACATGAGGATCGAAGAGGTATTCACTGAAATCGAAAAATTCAAAATTTTCGAAAAAGTATCAGGAGAACATGAGGATTAAGGAGGTATTCACTGAAATTGATAAATTCGAAATTTTCAAAAAAGTATCAGGGGAGCATAAAAATCGAGAAAGTGTTTACTGAAATTTGAAAATTCGAAATTATGGGTAATTTTTTTACAGATTTTAGATGCCAAACGGTAACACCCTACACGTGTGAAATTAGGCGCGCGGAGCCTTACATCTACGCTAGTAAAGAATAAAAAAATGGCGCGGCGGGGGTGTGCGCGCATGTCTCTCGGTGTTGCCTCGAATTCAGTTTATTCAGTCGGCCGCCGGCTGCCATTCATTAAGCACGTATTTACTCTCAGTACAATTGACGAAATTACACGGGCGTAAAAATTTATGACACAATTCATCGATCAAACATTGATAATTTACCCATACAACCCGGCCGAGCAATTTGATGAAAGTTATACCGATTCATTGTATAAAATCATTTTAATCAGAACGATGGGTCTTTGAAACAGTGAAGTTGTGAAAAATGTGCTATAAATTTTGACAGGTGTGAAGAGACTCGTTATTATTAAATACGTGAATTATTTTCTTTAAAAATCGACGACTTCTCTGGACTTTATCGAATTGCTAAACGTAAGTTACATCTATTTCTTTTGGTATTTACAGTGGCTATTATAAATTTCGGGGGTCACCTGAATTTTCCAAGTTTTTAATTTTTTTTCGACATGTAACCATTTCGACGTGCAAAGAGATCCGAGGAATTTATTAATTTCGATGATTTTGAATAGAGAAAGGGGATTTTTTTTACTGGTGAAATAAATTCTCTTGTCCATTGTTTAGTCGACTGTTGATTGTCGGATTAAAGAGAGGGGATGAAGGAGATGGGGATAAGCAAAAGGTAGAAGGTGTGCACGTGACAGGAGCGAACGTTTAGACGTCATGAGTTGGCAGTGCGTCCTGATCCCACAGCACATTCATCCAAAATAACATACCATGCCCCCCGGAGAAACCTGTCACTTCCGGTGAATTCCGCTATTTCAACAGGATAATATGTCAATCGATCTTCTGGTACTTTTCCATTCAATGAGTCCCATATAATAACAAATTCCATGACGTCCTGCAACTCTAATTTTTCCACTTTGATAAGTACTCTAAAAAAAATTATAATCATCCCCAAAAAATTCTTATCACTATTTAGTTGATATTTTTCTCCATTCTCTGGCAAAGAAAGTGAATTTACTCTGAAGAATAAGCGGATAATCGAAGAATTATCTTTTGGATTGATGCTTGTAGATTTATGATTTTCGAGTGGATAATGGAAATTTGATCGTACGTTGATACTTAGATTTCTGTAAGGGTTGTAGGAGTGAATGGGATAAGAAAGGATGCGAAGAAAATGAGAAAATGAGGAGAGAGACAGATAGAGGGTGCCCTCAGGGTATATTTCCTCAAAGTTTTCCTCAGGAGGGATTTGCAGGGGTTGAAGGAGGGGTTTGAAATTGTGGGTGAGGTTTGAAAAGGAATTGAGGGGCTACCACTGCAACCAGGAAAACCGTCAGCTGCATATTTTCCCAGTATATTCCCTCCAATAATCGTCGGCCTCAAACTCGTCAATCTCCGTTTCTTTCGAATGTACACAGGCTACACTCCATTTCAATAGTTTTCGTATTGATCGGATCCATCGATTATCGACTTCAATATTCTCTATTAAAAATTACTCTTCCACTTCAGAAAGAATTCCAGGAAAAAATGTATTAATAACTCAGTGAAAATATCACCTGTTATCAATTCTAAAATTTGAATATAAAGACAAGGTCACAAAATTCACAAAATAAATAATAACAACGATAATTCTTTGATAATTAACAGATTTTTAAAAGGAAAACAAATTTTTGCTGAATGAATGAATTGAGAAAATCATTAGAAATTACGACTAAAAATATGAAAAAACAGTAATTATCGAGATAGTTTGAGAAGTAGAATGAATTCGAAAATTATTTTCAACATTGACAACGACAAATTCATTACAATACACGTGACAATGAAAAATGCTTGATTAATAGTTTGTGCAATGAAATTGGTGTAAAAAATAGTGAAAAGGAAAAAATGCAGTGAAATAGAGGGATGCGTGTTACATCTAGGTAAATATATATATATAATATCGATTAACTGTTGGGAGCAGAAGAGGCAGAAGGGCCTCTGGCATTGGCTTCCCTATATTATTAATCTTTCCCTCTCACGTGGAACTCTAAAATTCCCCCTAGCTTTTCAGGGGGTACACTATATACCATTTCAACTCGGCACATATGTATTTGTCCAGTCAGTCAGGTGTAGTGGGCAGTTCCTCCACCAAAGGCCATCAAGACTTCTGCCTTTGCTCATCCTCAAGTGTCATTTTCCTTTTTTTTCATCTTCTGCCCAAATAAACTAAATAAAATCAAAGTGGCCACTTGAAAATAAATTAAAATAAAATAATTAAGTGATTTAAGTATTTATTATTTCACCTCTCAGAAGAGAAATCTCCACCTTTCACAGACTGACAGAAATTCCATCCAAATTGTAGAATTCTTTTTGGAATATTTACCAGCAAAATTGTGGAGTACAATTCAATTAATTTTGGCAACATTCTCCTGGGAATAGTGGATATGACATTGACGTGAGGTACGCAGAAATTAAACGTACATACTGTCAATGGCAGAGAGACCTGGTTTAACTCGATTGACATTCCACAGAGCTTCGTGATTAAAGCCCATTTAATTTTATGATTATGAACGTTTGATTGATCGAATTAAACCTTAATTCAGATCGTTCGGTTTTCTTTCGTACAAAATAGGAAAAAAACGTTGACGAAAAATAGGAAAATTCTGACTGACAAAAATGGCTTGCTCTAATATTCGTGTTTATTCTGTTCGAGACAGCGATACAAACGAATGGATGACAATTCGGTCGGAGAAAGGCATGTGACAAGACCCACTTTGATCTCTTCATCGCTTTGGCTTGAGCAAATGACAGGATTTTTATTATTTCAGAAAGGGTTTTTAATGATCGAGATGTCGACAGTTTTATAATCAAGTTTAATGTCAGTCCGGTTAAAAAGTGGGGGAGGATTATTGAATCTGGAATTGACAGAGTGCTCACCAGATTTTAATAGATCTATCGTCTTTTTTCCCTAGAATTCTAAAAATCCACAATTTTATTTGCAAAACTCCAAAAAATAAATAATTTATTTCACGTTTAAATTTCTAATTAAAAAAAAAATCAATTCTCAATTTTCAACTAAATTTCATGATTTTATGACGGACAAGCCGAATGAAATAAAAATAAATATAAAAATACTGTGAATGAAGGGAAGAAAGGGAAGGGATGGGGAGATCAAAGTTTTGGTGTCTAGCCCCTGGTGAAGCTGAATTGTCATCAGTTTATATCGGTGTGCATCGAACACTGGGCAGAAGACGTTTTTAAATATAATATCTATATGAATGGCAGGCAAAGGGACGAGACTGTGCGTGACATTTTTGTAATGAAAACCGCGGCAAACGTTAGTCTCATGGGTACAAGTCGTGGTGGTAGACATCTGGCCTGTCTCTCCCCTGCTCGTTCTAATATTGGAAATTTCACTAGTGCCACTGTATACCCACACTAAAATCCTTTTTACCGTACATGTGCACCACCAAACGTACACCATGTGCCGGACATATGTATAAACATAAGCCTTCTCCATCTCTCTGTTGTGTCTTCCACCTCCACCACCCCCACCACCCCTTTTCCCTTTTTTTTCATTTTGTATTGTCCTCGATTTATCGATCCACAATTATTATTCCACCTTTCTCCATTGTTGTTATTGATTAGGAAAATTATCGCTGAGGTACAATAAAGTATTTTCAATTGCGCGGATTAGGGATGGTTTGAAGGGGTGGAAATGAGTCCTCAATTCACTCAGATGGAGTCATTCCATGATCATTCAATCACACTGTTGTGTAATTGGTTTTCATGATTTGAAGTGCCTAATCCACGATCCATCAAAGTTAATCTGTGATTTTCGTGTTTATGCGCCCTTTTGCAGAAATATGAAAAGACACTTAATAGAGTAAACGAAGGGGCGAACATGATAAGGGAGACATGTACGTGTCTTTGCAAACTGGTCAGGGCTTAGGCCCCATGGAATTTCCAGGGTAAATCATCCTGGAGGAGAGAATCACTCGGGAATTCCATATTTTAGCAATTTTTAGTAATTGCTCGATCAACGCTTAAATTAACAAATTTTTTCATCACCGCCTCTGACCTCAAATTTTCTTTAATTTTCTTTAAATTTCTTTAATTTTCTTCCATGAATATTTTAAATGATCGTCTGATAAATTCAATGAATGATCACTTATTGGTGAATTAAGGGAAAATTAGACATTTTGGAGGATAAGGAAATGCCGCATTTTCCTGTCCGGAAATGATAGAATGACTCACTCCCTTCAGATTTTTGAATGAAAATCAGTTGTAATTCACGGCTGTCCAAATCCATGTGTTGGGCAGTGGTCCATAACGAATAAAACGTATTGCCTACGTGAGGATGACGCGAAACACAAGTCCACCAGATGTTGGCGGCGAGATTTTTTCCCCCACCAATTTTTCCTGTTTTTTTATCAACATGAAACAATCCTGTCAATTTTGATTTGAATTTTTAAAGTTTAATTGTTTCCTCTGAAAGAGACAATGCGAAAATAAAAGCTAACTTTCGCAGTTGAAAAAAGATCTCGTTTGAAATTGCAATTTTCTTCGCGGAACTGAGAAGAAACTTGAGGGGAAAAGAAAAGAGAAAAATGTCATGAGGCAGTCGCTGGTGGCACTTTTCAAATCTTAAGCTTGGTAATTGAAAAGGAACAGCGCTAAACGATTATATAAAATGGGAGAAATAAGGAAAAGGGTGAATGCCAAGGGTTGGCGACAGTTTCGTTGCATTTTTAACGATATTTTATTTTTTTCAAAACGACAGTTGCTGTATGTTTCACAGAAATAAATCAAATGGAAAATCCAATTACTGGATTTCAATCAAAATGATTTTTCCATTTGCTACAATTTTTTTTCCGTCCACTCACGGATCTAGACTGACGTTTAAATCATTTGAAAAATAGAAAAATAATTTATTATAAGAATTGATTTGAGAGAAATAAAAATATTGATTTACTATAATTAAATTAACAGAACGGAGTGGAGAAGATTTGACATTTGATAGGTAAAATAAAATGATTTCATTGATTGTTTCAGGTAAAGAAGAGACGATTATGAAAGCCGAGGGATCGGCTCCACCAGTTGTCATCCATCACAAAGTAAAGGTAAAGGAGGAAACGAAAGAATGCAATTATCACCCAGAAAATTTACAAACGGAAAGCCAAGTACCAACGACAATGACTGTACCAGTGGTTGGTGCAAGTGCAAACACAATCACAACAACTTCAACAGCAAACTCAAACAGCACACCCAACCTTTCCAATCATCCACCTTCAACAGCCTCAAACTCATCAACGAACGAGGCAACTTCTCCAACAAGTACCCACCAAAATTCAAGTGTCATTTGCCAAGTCCCATCATCCACGAGTTCAGTGCACAATGGCGTTGAACCTGTCGATTTGGATCTCAAAAATAAAGGTAAGTCATTTCATTAATTCCCATTTTATAATTGCAATATCATACAATCAGAAAACTAGTCACTAGCGAATTCGTAAAGTGGGATGAATATATTTTTCCGCAATTGGCGGCACATAGCGATTTTTTCGTATAAACATTTTTTTTATAAAAAAATGAGAGCTACAAAAAAGATATCCACGGAAATACCGTTATCTCCCTTCAATTCCGAGATATCGGCTGAAAATTGCCTCCGAAAAAAAAACATTTATCCTAGTATACGAGTTTACAATAGATTTATTCGAAACAAATAGTGAGGATAGAAGATATTTTTTAAGGTAAAAATAAAGAGATGTTTGGAGGATGTGTTGAGGATCTGAGGATGGAATGGTTCCCAGATTTTCCATTGCCCATTGCTCCATCGGCAAATCTAGTAGAAATGGTAGGTTTACATGTGGAATACAGTGAATGCCGGCACCCGTATATCGCCCCAATGCTGGCATTACAGTATATACGATATACGATTCTTCCTCAGATCGCCTACATTTATACTGGATCTGGTTATCTATCCTCTGCTGGAGCCCGCAGTTTGTGCTCTACCTTTACCAAAGTCCCCTCCAAACATTATATTCTCATTCACTCCTTATCGCCTGCAAGCGGCTCCACTCCATTGCATCCACTAAAAAAAAAATCTCTGCATATTAAACTACATCCTAAAATTATACTCAACAATTTTCTCCTCCCTCACTTTTCAAATGGCCAAAATTTCCACAACAATGAGCTAGAAATTTTATATCTTGGCAATAATAATTTGAATCGACTCTAGATTTTAGGATCGCGTGAAAATTTATAATGACAATCGAAAGAGTAATTTAAAATTCGCTGAAATTCACTGGAACTAGTTGAAGTGAAATGACTTGGGCGCAGCCGTTGGCAGGTGGTGAGGCATTTTATAGTGATTCTGAAAGTCAGGAATATGCAGGCAAGAGGGGGTTTTGGATAGTTGGGTGTATGGGGTGTTTAGTTGTTGCAACAATTGGCCCCCTCTCGGGTGTGTTGCTCTGCCTGACTGCCTGGTCCAGACGCGATAAGGCACGTCCAACACTTCCCACCCAGAATTCCTGGCTCACGGCTGATATCATATCCTCCAGCCACTACTCCACCACTCCCTCATCCTTGTGTATTTTCCCCACCCTCTGGAGCCATTCCTCTCCATTCCTTCATCCTTTAGCCCCAGCTTCCTCATTCCCGTGTGGAATCCACTTGGAGATCCCCAGATGATGGCCTACATGCATCCGCAAACTCCTCCAGACATTCACCCCCTGCATCCCCAGCACATTTGCACCCTCCGGCTGTTTTCAAGGTGTCAGTGCAGTGAGGAAAGGAAATATTCAATAAAAATGGGTCTTTTAGTTGTGAAAAGTTGGGCTCCTCCACCTCGTCAAATGAATTAGCGGGATTATACTGGGGAACAAGAGGTGAAAAAGGAGGGGTGGATAAATTGGAAGAAAGAGTGTGGGTGGTGGGAAGGAATTGCGATCAAACCCATCTGTTGCATTGTCCCGGCAATTAGGAGGCGACAGCTGAGTCCCACCGTACTTACTTCCTCTCACAGAGAGCACGTGCGACTTATCGATCCTCCCTGTTTCGTTTGACTTTCCACCCTTTCCTATTTTCTATTTTCCCTCTTTGCCCTCTTTTCCCTCCCCTCTTTCACCCGTCCACTCACTGAAAAATTCACGTCAAGAGATTTCTCCAATTTTTCAAATACAATATTAATCTCGAAAAAATAATACTGAAGAAATCAAGTAAAATTATTTTTATTATTTATTCTTCACTGTCTCTGGAAATTCTTTGGTTTTTGTTCAAAACAATTTACAAAATCAATTCATTTCAAATAGATGTTTGATGAAATTAATTTTTTTGTTGTGAACACACGTTCACTGGATGATGAAATGAAAATAGTAATTTCAAATTGAACGATCGAGAAAAATCATTGATGAGAAATAAAAATCATTACTGACAGTTGGTGGAAATGATGTAACATCTGCCAGTGGGAACACATGCGTCGGCTTTCAATGTGCAGATTTTCTGCTAAAACATAAATGATAAAAAAAAATTATTATTCCCTGAACGCCGCAGCCACGTGCTGTAATAGTAAACGAGAAATCACTAAAAATCAGGAAAGCTTCCGAATTTCCGATATATCTCAGAGTTGAAAATCAAAATTTCGGTATCCCCTATACATGGAATTAATTCCACAGTCGATTATCATTCCATAAATGAACGAATTAACAATGGATGTCGGACTTAGTAATGAGTAAATAGGAAATATTTTTCATATTCTGATTGTGATTTACATTATAGGCTCTTGAGAACGAAATAATCCCGCGGATTGGATGATCCCCATTGATTTAATATCTGCGGTGGAATATTATTTTCCTCATATCAGTATTTCCCAGAACAATTTTCGTTGATGTGTATTATAGGAGTGAGTATCACCGAGGCCAGGGGCATTTCTGCACTGACGATAACGCGCACTGTATGGTGGAGAGAATAGTGAACAAGACAAGGTGGATGACACGAGCCGTAATTGCATGTTATCCACCGGATGGAATTGTGTTGGTTAGTGGGGGGTGAATGCTAGACGAGTAATAGTTCATGCTATATAAAGACATACATGTATGAACCAATGCGTACGTCATGGTCATTCAAATTCGTTGACATTTTTCATCGATAGATTAGCTCCTCAATCATTCATTATGATAATCACAAATAATCACAATTAAAATTCCACTACAAAATCCATTCATTGGAACTGCAATCGCAATTGAGAAGGGGAATGATTATTTATTTCAGGCATCCCGTCATTTCAACCCCGCGACGACAGAGGAACTGACATGACGAGCAAAGAAAACCGCTCGTCACCATCCACCAATAAGTCAAAACTCTTGGGACACAGCATCAATGGCCACCCAGAGTTCTCCAGGCAATTATCAACTAGCTCATCAGGTAACGATAGTCCGATCTCGTCGCACTCAATCAAACCGGAGGATGAGACCGACATTGGAAAACACGAGGAATCACCGACATCTGCACCACCGCAAATATCGACCGAAACCAGCACCACCAGCACTACCAGCACCAATGGAGTAGCTCTGAATGGTGGTCTCAGGTGTATATCCAGTGTTTTCGCGGGTCACGCCAAGCTTAAGAGACTTCTCGGTACTCTAGTGCAATTCGCTAATAATATATCAGCGGACACCGGTGACACTGTCCGGAGTCTAGTCCTTGGCCTTCTGGTGAGCATTGCTTTATTTATTTACTCATTATTGCTACGAAAAAAAAATCGAGCGATTTTACTATCGATTTATTTCGAAAAGACGGCGGCAAATCATCGTGTTTTACTGCTCAGGCGTTTCGACATTAAATAAAATAAAGGAATTAAAAATTTGTAGAAGCTAAGCTTTCACCAGATAAGCCACCGAAATTCCTCACTCTAATAATAATTCTCTGGATACATAAATGACGTGATACAAAAAATTCAGTGACATTAAAAAAAGTGATGGGCCAAAATAATACGTATTTGATCCTGTGGACAATGGGTAGTTCACTTAAATTAATTAAATTTTTTATTTCCAGAGTGGAACGATGTCGGCTGAAGAGTTTCATTCGGCCGTCCAAGAAGCAACTAATTTTCCCCTCCGAGATTTCGTTCTCCCATATCTCAGACACACACTTCCTGCCCTCAAAAGAAACCTCAACACTGCAGCAAGAGCCAACAATCAAGTAAATATCAAACAATATAATTTTTATAATTAAATGAAGAATGAAAATCGAGTGTTTGTGATTTTTTTATCGAAAAAATAATAACCAACCGTTCGAAGAATGTGCAAATAAATGGTGTCCACTTAAAAAAAAATAATTATCCCACCGTTTGACCCATTGGGTGATGTATAGTTTATTAGAAAAGCCATCGGGGGCTATAAATCTCAGAGCCACGGCTACAAGCCAAAATTGCTGGTACCTGCACGAACTTGTCCTCTACATAATACATAGAGCCCAGAACCCGGGTAATTTCGTTTCCACCCATAAAATCTCAGTGTCCCCTACCCCGCATTAAAAAAGCCCACCCACCTCTTATCACACATTTGCAAAATTAACAATTACCCACTCTCCGTACGATAATGCTCTCATTGCATTTCTTTCCGCAGAGATAAAGATATCCCACACAAATTCCCTTTCAAATAATAAAACCAAATAGCCCTAATTAACAACAATTGATCTTGCGAGAATGATTCAGTCTTCCACTACTGAAAATATATCCAATAAAAGAGTAGCTGATACTGAAATATAATTTGAACGAAATATTTAATCTAGAATGCGAGAATTGTGCGAATATAGTATATATATTGGATATACATTGGGGTAATAGTGTCCCATAACCGGAGAGGATAGAAAGGATAGGTATAGCCTTTTACAAGCCGGTTGGTTTATTAGACCGACGAGTACAGAGCGCACAGAGATAAATCACAGTAAGCGATTGTTGCAGTGCGCGTGGTGCAGCGTGAAAACGCCGCGTAAATACACCTCGCACATGTGTGGATGTGGAAATTTCTATATGTACACGTGTGAATATAGGAGTTTTATCCTCAGCATTCGTAGCACGGGTGTGGACCAGAGGTGATGTTGGTGGGAGGGCTACGCTATTCGAATTCGACTAGCGGTTTTAAACGAGCGCCAATCCTCCAACATCTGCGTCCTCTAGCCCGGATATCCGCTTTCCAAATCCCAACGAGAAAGACACGTTCAACCCACCAAGATGAAAAAATAAAAAGATAGGGATAAGAAGTTATATCGCTCATTCATATGCCGGGCAACACGCCATTTCATTATGATAAGAAAAAATTATTGTTTTGCGGCTCCAGTCCCAATTGCATTTATTTGATTTAATTTTTTTAAAGGGTTTTTCTTAATCATTATATTTTCAATCAAATGGACTATTCTTTCAATTCCTGCATTATGCATTATGTGAAACACGTGGAGATAATTTTCCACTGTACTCTTTCCTTTTTTTTTCGTAATCTTTTAAACATTTTGGTTGAAAAGTGTGTGGGTGTATCGGTGGCTAAAGAATTCACAGTTGCGCTGGAGAATGTGTAAGGCAATCCAAATGCCACATAGAGTATGAAGGGGAATATATAGTATAAGAGAAGTGAAGCAAAATCAACAGAGCATGGCCGACCGGCTGGCAGCTTGTTTTAATTTCCCAGAGTAGAGGTACCCCCTGTGCACATCCAATGCCGTCAGCACACACACCAGAAAACCCCCTTGTATGCCTTGAAGATGGATGAACACCCGAGATGCTGAATTTAACTATATATTGATGAAACAACCGGTCTATGTGCGCAAAAAGTCTAGCAAAAATAACGGGATGATTGCATTTTTTTATTTATTTATTTACAAATGAACGCTACGTTATTGACTATTATTTTTGCTGGACATTTTATTCTGAATTCGCTCACCCTTGTTCAGTATTTTTAGCAATAACAATTCGGCGAGTTATCATTGAAAAATTAATTATCAGTGCAGCCACAAAAAATTGTAGGGACAATTTTGCGTTTGCGAATTGATTGCGCTAATATTAGCTCGGATTAATTGCATAAATAGAATAACTCACAGGGATTTATTTAAATGCCAGTGGAATATCTAAATAAACGCTGTTTTAAGTGGTAATCCAACATTTATCCTCAAATCCTCGCCGGTTGCATTATTTTCCGATGGATTATGTCTCCAAATGCTGCGCCAGACTAATTAAATACCCAGGAGGCAAAATCCCCAGGGAAACAACTGAAAAATCGTACACTCTCTATTTGTTATTTTTTCTAAAACCCGCTACCAGATTTAATCACTGGCTATGTATACATACACCTTCACCTAAGATCTCGCCATCTGTCGTTTTGAGATAAGGATATACGAAACGCCAAGTCTCACTGCAACGAATTGCAAATTAATCACATCAATTTGCATTTCCCTAATTCTCTTAAGATTCTCCGCTAATGCCCCACAATAAAATTCCATACAACAATTTTCCACTACTCGATTTTCCTTTCAGTGAATTTTTCAACGATCAATATGAAATATTTTTTCAAGTTCTAAAACCGCAAGGGATTAACCGGTAATTAAAGAATTGTAACAATTAGACAATTATGCTATTTTATTTGCTCTCACTTTGCGGTGACATTTTAGAAATCGAAATCAATGGGATATACAATTTGCTGCACAACTTGCCAATCATTCATCACCCAGTATTTATCGATCGGATAATCGTTAATTACAACGGGTCTGAATGGAGGGTGGTTTCAAAGAAAACAGAGTTCTAGAATTGAATTAGCAACGATAAATCGCATTGCTGCCATAGCGACTCGGTGCTCCGAGAGAAAAGAGGAGAAAACACCGGGGGATTGAGAAAAGAATGAAGGGAAAGAGTAGTTCGATAAAGAAACTCCAGGACGAATATTAAAAATGAAACTGATTGTAATGACATGCGGGTTAAATTTCCTCCCCATCAGCATTTCTTTCTCAACACTTTTTAATTAGGGAAGTAATTAGCGTACTTCAACAACTCAGATATATTCAATCATGACAGTTTTCACTGTCAACATTTTTATTTTTACTTTTTCTCCCTCTCCGACTACTTTACCAGTTTCTCAAGACAATTACTAATTATGCTGATTAATAATAAATTAATTTCAGACGTGTGTGCAATATTTACGCGCAAATGAATCAGCAGTCCTGGAGACGGTGAGCCTGACCCCGAGCAGTGACACAGTTGAACTCTTTGGTGATCACAGCACTAATGGCACATCATCAACAGCGACGAACTACAGCTTACGATCTAGCACTGGATCGAGTGTTAATTCACTTGCACACAGTAATTCACTTCATCACTACAGCGGTGCCACAAATTTGGCAACGAAACGTCGAGCCCCTGACACACCGTGAGTTGTATTCTAGTTTTAATTCTCCAAGTATCGACGTAATCGCGGTTACCGGATCGACCCGAGGGAGAAAGGGAATTTTATCCGATCACTAGCAATAACTCATGGCTCTGGACGAACGTAACGCACCTGCGACTACACGAACCCAAAAGCCACAAAGTGTCCCGTTTATGACAACTTAATTTTCACCATTTTTTTTCACACTCCTATCATTTCAAATGAAAATTTATCACTTAAACAAATGCAATTTTATTAATTACATCTGCATTATTAATATTATTAGTCACTCAGTCTACGGACTGAATGACAACAAATATGCGTCACCCTGCCGAAAGGAACTTTTCTCGATTCGCCTCGGGCTGTAATCTCACAGAAAATTTAGCCAGAGAAGCTCCTAACGACCCAGTAACGAAATATAGTATATCCATATTATTATTAATTTTTTAATTTACTCCCCAGAATATTTACCGAGCAATTATTTGATAATTCTTTGATGTGTAATTAAGGTACGGCTATGATAATGCGAGTGAGGATTCATCTTTGTACGGAAAACGTTCGACAAATCCCTGGAGTCATCATCCCCCAACCCAACAGCAATCAGACATGTACTGCTGGTATCATCCAACGATTCAGGGTCACTCCCAGGGCCATCTGCCACCGAATCTCGTTCAGATAAATCAGTTGTCGTCATTTGGTCCACCCCTTCCTCCTCAGCAACAGCAGCACCAGATTAATCACACACCCAGCCAAATGCAAAATGGTTCGAGTCTCGATGACGAATGGAAGAATATCCACGTTATGCTCAATTGTATTCTCGGTATGGTGGAGAAGACAAAACGAGCGCTGGTGATACTACAGAGACGCGGGTGTTCCAGTCCAGCTGCTGCAACACCTGCATCCGGATTGGCAACGCAGAATGGCACTAGTAATGGTAACAATATCTCCAGTGCAAATGGCACACAGATCGAGTCATCCAGTGGTGATCGCGATGGAAATTTGAAACGTTTGTCTGGAGAAATTGTGGCTCAGACTATCCGAGCTACTGAGGACAGGGTAGCAGCTGAAGTCAAAAGGAGAGCTGGTGAGTATTCTCCGTGATAATTGCATTTTTATTTCAATTCATGTGCAATTTAACGATTTTTCATTACGATTTATCTGTTAATTAGAAGAGGCAGTGCAAGAAGTAAAACGTACTGCGATGATAGAGGTGCAGCGAGCAGTGGCTGCAGCAGTGGCTGAATCACGTGCGAGTGAACGAATGAGGGTCCAACATCTTCTGGATATACCAATGGCCCAGAGAGGACGCGGGACCATGCGACAGGGGGCATTCCTCAGGCTTGGGGGCCATGTCAATCCAGAATCCACTTCGAAGGCGGTTTCAGCCAGTGAAGATGAGAAAGAGGGAGTTCATGCTATGGGAACCAATTGTTGGAACTGTGGGAGACCAGCTCTGGAGACTTGTGGAGGATGTGGAATTGCGAGATACTGTGGATCATTCTGCCAGCATCGGGACTGGGAAGCTGGTGGTCATCATGCTACCTGCAGATCCAGTCCAACCCACGAATCCACTCGTTGCTCATCACCGAGTCCACCAAGACCTGGTAACAGCTCGAATGAAGCCGACACTCCAACGCCAACGGTCGCCAAAGGGAAGTGATTGTACAGGAGAGACTATTCAGTCCTCTCGCGTTTCAATTTTTCACTTTACACTCATTCCTGTCGATGAGCTCCAGATGGGAATCAAGCAGATTAACGAATTTCAATGATTATTGTTTAAGTCATTCGTATTGTTATCACGTTTCATCTTTACGTGAATATTCATTGGATTAATTCTGGGACGAAGTGATATAGAGAGATAATCCAAATTTAACTTCTTTCCCCATTCTTAATTATCAATTTATTTCGAAAACTATCGATTTGAGGGCGTAACGTCGAAAGACTTTTTTGGAGTTTATTAAATTGCAGATAAAAAAGTTCTTTTAGGTTTTCTCGGAAAGTCGGTAGTCTTTGAGATTAATTGCTGGGTAGTTGAACTGGAATATTAAATTAATTTCAAGTCATAATTGTTAGGTAGAAATGATGAGTGATGGTTTAATATCCTCATCGTGCATGTTGGGTAAGAATAAAATCTTCATTGTAGAGATTGAGTCAATTTTCATAAAATGTATTAATTATAATAATTTAGGAGTTAGTATTGTTACCATATCTTTGTTATTTATTATCATCATTTTTTTCATAAGTCATAACTGCACCTACCTTTTTATCCTAGTCAATTGAATAGGTACGACTTAATGTATAAATTATAATAACAAATTCATTCACTCGTTTATGGAATTATAAGATGTAAAATTAATTATGTACTGTCTAGTCATGAAACTCAAATTACCACCAATTAACAGGATATAATTGAAATAAATCATAGATTGTGATGATCGAAATTATCATTTGTCATATGAAACCTTGCTCAATCTAATTTTAACGTTAATAAATATCAATTGTAATCTTGAAATCTGAATTTAGAATTGAAACTATTGAATGCAAAATACACGTCTCTGTAATACGGGAAGTATTTAATTAATGTGATTACTTTTTTACACTTTCAATCAATCAATCAATAACGAGATAGACTCGAAGCAGCAATAAAAATCTGCCTTCCGTTTATTCACTATTTCTACAATAAAAAATAAAAAGGGAAGAGAAAAAAAAATTTTGACCAATTTCACTTGGTCGAACTGATGATGCTGGCAAAAAGTGCTCTGGTCTTCTCCTCCTGTCCCCTCGTTTCACTCCACTCCTTCCTATTTTTTCCAAAAAGGGGAACATTGAATTTCGCCGAAATAATTCTCCCAGTTTTCGTTGAATTCATCGCCTCCCCAGCACCAGCTAGTTCCTCCATAATACGAATTCTCTGATTATCCTTGGAATGCTGCCAAATTTTGTCGAGACATCTGGATCCATGAATTCCACATGCAAGTGTAACCCAGTATCCCTGGAGTTGCTTCGCTAATTTATCCCTGCTCTTCTCCCCGACGAATTTCGAATCCATGAAGACATCGAGAATTCTGCTCCCCTTTGGATCGCTAAACATCATCGCCAGCTCCTCTCCCTCCAGCGATAACAAAGAATTAACTATTTTAATTGGTTTATTGAATTGAAGAATAGCCTGGAGTATCAGACTCCCATGAAGATGCAGCTGAATATTGCGATTAGACCTCTTAGCAGCATCAAACTGCTCATAATTAACTAATCGGGCGATTAAAGGTGCCAACAGTAATTGCCTCTCCTGTGGCTCATCACATTTCAACCCCTTAGCAACAACAATAACAAATGGCCCTTGTTTTGTCTGCAGCCTCCAACAGGCATTCCCAAGACTCGCCAAAACTCCAGTATTCTGTCTCTCCAGAATCTCCAAAAAATGTCCAGAGATCTCATCAAAGATCTCTTCAAATTGTTCCTTCGTGGGACAGTAATCCATCAGCCTCTGAACACTGAAGTTAGCACCTGGCATTAACGATAATTCCTTTAAACGTCCAGAAAACAATTTTTTAAATATTTTTCCGTACATTTTCGTGCTAGCGGATGCCAGACACGACTCTAAAAGCCGCAGGGAGCTTTCAGTATCGAATATATTAGATAAAGACTCAGTGTTCTCGTTGAAACACTCAGAGATAATTTTTTTAATAATCGAAGATGTCAACTTGGGCTCAACGTCCTTCAGAGTTGATATGTAAGATTGTAGTAATCCTGAGGACAACTCGTCCTTTCCCAATTCCAGAAATTGGGGCCATCGGAGCAGTCGATTACCCGAGTCTATAAGCAAATCTGTGAATTCCTGAGTGACTTTCCTTCTTGGCCCTAATTTCATCGTCCTCTTCTTTTTGTCATTATCCTCTCTATCTATTAATCCCCCGAGGCAACGAATTGACGTTCGCAAAATGTGATTGGCATATGTATCATAAATAAACTCTTCTATATTATTTATAACGTATCTGCAGAGTTTCAGAGATAAATTATTGTATATAGGAATTTCTTCCTCTGTGATTGTCAAATTATTTTTACTGGAGTCATCCCCAAAATTTCGGTTTCCCCTGTCTGCACATGTCTGGATAATTCTCTCCAGGACATGACTGGCGTATTTATCACTGCAAATGGGCCTCAAGGAAGAACTGAAGGCATTAGTGAATCTTTCAATTACTTGGAGATCCGCAAATCCCATTAGAGTGTCCAGGACAAGTGAGCCCACTTGATTTTTTGCTAAATCCACCTCCTGGTCCACTGTCTGCTCGAATACATTATTTACAAAGATTGGTTTGTCGTTCATAGTTGAAAAATCTGTTCGCAGGACTTCCATTATTTGCACCATGTATTGATAACTTTCAGAGTCCAATTCACTACCTCGACCTGGATCTCGTCTGCGAGCCAGTTTTTTCGCTATTTGATTTGCTGAACGCTTTTTCTTCCTCTTCAAACCCTTTAATGAGGATTTACCGCCAATTTCTCCGGTTTCGGACATTCTTTTTCGTTTTCGATAACTCTTCAAATTTTTAGAACACTCCAAGTACTTGTTTATTGATTGACATAACCAAACTTTGAAAACACGTGAGTAATTTCTCGTAACAGATGATAAAGTAGATTTCCGGGGAAATTACTGAATTAAATATTGCACAAATAAAAAATTATAATTTCTGGATATTTTTTTGATTGGAAATTCTCGTGTACAGGGGAAATCCTAAAATTTTTGTGCCTGAGAACAGAAAATACGAAATGAATTTAGTAGTTAAGTTTTATTGAACAGTCGTACTCGTAATTAATATTTTATCATGACTTACTCTAAGTTTTACAAAATATACAGGGAAAATGAGTTTCACAGTTGGATTCAAATAATATACATCATATAAAAAAAATCACACGCTTCCTAGAGCATACGTAGCACTCACTCCAAATAAACTCTCAATTCCATTCGACTTGATAATAAGTCAATATAAGGAAAATTATTTTTCGAATGATACTTTCGTTACGAGATAAACCCCCAGACATTAGGGGAATCATTAATTTGTCTATAATTTTGACATTTTCTGGCGACGGATTGAGATCAGTGTCTGCTAATAGCATAACACGCTGTTATTAATTAATAATGACTAATCCTTCGTCTGATGCAGCATTTTCCATTTTTTTTTCTTGAAAACTTGGAAAATGAATATTTTTTTGTGATTTTTCCTATTAAAATGACGAAATTACAAGAAAGCACAACCATAAAAAATCATGAAGGAAGAGATAATTATACTATAATACAATAATTGCATGTAATTACTCATTGATCAGACGAAGGATTAATGAAAAAGGCATTGAGGTTGTTGTGACACGGACTCGAGAGGAACGACACACGTACAAACGATGAGAAAAAAAAATTGGTGACACGTTGGAATTCAAGGGCATCAAATTGCTCCATATTCCTCGCTGGATGGTGATTCGTCACTTGGTGGTGGTCTCAGTGGTCTCGGTGGTCTCGGTGGTCTGTGGTGATGGAGAAGAGGTGCTGGCCTTCTCGGGGGAGGAGGTGGATGTCCATGATACCCATCCTCACCATCCTCACTGCTTGGAGAGGACGAGGGGGCCCTATCCTCCTGCTCCTGGAGAATGTGACGAAATTCCTGGATCGATTCGTTCAGCGACCACAACTGCGACAGGAGTGACAAATCCAGCTGACGCAATCCAAACTGCAAACATTTTATTTCACTATCAGATAATATCCATTTTTAGAATAACTCGACACTCAGTGTTATCTACTGGTTTTATCGCGGGATTTAGATATGAAATATTTGATTTTGCTTGAATGAAAATTGGTATGAATATTTCAATGAATGACGAAAATTTTATCTGATTTTTGAATGAATGATGAAATTTTTTATGATATTGGAACGAATGACGAAGTTTTTTACAATATTTCAAATGGTTTTAATGACACGTTCTGATGATTGTTTTAGTGTTGGAAGTCAGACAGATTGTGGGAACGAGCTTTGAGGGGATTAAAGGGATATGCCACGAGGGGAGAATGTGAAAATGAAAAAAAACCTGCAAAATGGGAAAGGTAGTGTAAATGGAGGGAGGAATAAATAGAAGGGGTCACGTTCTCGAGAAAATGTACAGCGTGGGAGCGTAAAATTGTGGTAGTCTCGTACCTCAGGATTTGCCCTGTGTTGCGTCCTTTCGACTGCATCACACTAAACTCTAGATCGACTTGTAATACCTCTGCACTTTCACATAAACTCATTGATCGCTCCGTAATTCGAATGATTTTCTTTCCTTTCCCCTGCGATTTTACTCACCATTGAAAATACAAATGAAATACAAATGAATCAAGCTACAAATTCAGGCATTATATCCCAAATTTTGACAACTCACACCTTAAAATATTATATCATTGAATTTTTAAAATAAAATCACGATTGACAAATGTAATTATGAAATAAAATAATGAAATGGACCTCTTGGGTTTATAAAATCTAAAAGTATTACAAGTCGTATTTTTTGGTATTGAGGTGAAGGATTTGAAGGAATAGGAAATTTTAATAAGCAGAATTATATTTCTAGGAATGGAAATTAATGACAGATAAATTTTTAAGCCGCCGTCAGTGGTTGAAATGTCATCCTTAGATAATAATTACGTAACTCACCATTTCCTTTCTGAGAATAGCAAGTTGAGTGTCAAGAGTCGTGAGTTGTCTGTTCGGTGGTGATGGCCTGGAACTCGATTGTTGTGGAGTTTTGCAACCCTTTGGGGTTTTACTAGATGATCTCGTTGGTGGAGGTGGTGGTGGTTCATTTTCTCTCTTCACCTCATTCAGATTGAAGCCACTGAGACTTCTAGGCAGTGGTGGTAAACCCTGAAGCGACGACATGGCTATTCTCTCACGTATACTGAAAATCATTGAAAATATTTATTTACACTTCCGTTAAACGATTAATGATTCAATTAATCTGAAATCAATAGTTTTCGACACGAATATCGATACGCGTTTCGTTAATGATATAGTACCGTAATATCTCACCGTTTTTAATATAAATACATATTTTCTAACTTTCACGCACAATGTCGGAATAAATCATTTATGGTCTATAACCTAAATTATAAGATCGGTGTCAGTCGTCCGTGTCAACGGTAACATACTAATCGTGCCCTATATTTTTTCTCACCTTTTCAATTTTTTTGCATTATCCTATTTTTATTTGTGCAATATTCAGTGCCTCTCGGATATTTCCAAAAATCGGAAAAAATCTCATTCCCCAGAGGATATTCAACCGATTTTTGCAAATATACCATAATTTTTAATTTTCTAAATAAATTCCTGACTCTCTCGAAGACTTTCACGGCGTCCCCCCTCGAAAAACCGTAACTAGTGCATAGCGTTAAACTCGATCTAATTATCTATTGTTCTTGAAATGGACCCAAGACACGCGACGAGTTCTCTCAGAAAGCCCCAGAGTATCATACCTTGAAAAATCCAGACTAATCTTGATGGCCTCATCATTTTTATGGGCATCGACGAGTTTATCTCCTTGAAAATTATCATAATCATTCCCACGATCACTGAGGGAGTCGTCCCCAGCTAGTGTAATTTTAGTAGATGAATAACGAACACCAGCCTCAAGCCAGTCCTGATGCTGTATATTATCTTTGCTGTCTTTGCTGTCTTTATTGTCTTTATTGTCTTTATTGTCCTCATTGATAGTTACTTTCCGCTCTGGTTCCTCAACAACGACAACCGTAGCAACCGTAGCAACCGAATTTTCCCTCGGCTTTCCCACCAAAACATGTGTCAAATTATCACCACCGATCTCATCACCATTATCATTCACTTGTACTTTTGTCCTGATACCAGTGGAACTAAGAGACGTGTCCTTTCTCCCAGTTCCACTGCCCCTTACCTCAAAGCTCTTCTTAATTACATCAAAATCTTCACACACTTGTTCATTACCCTCGGCATTATCCTCAGTACCTTGAACCCTGGCAAAAACATCTGAAGCAGAATCCTTCCGGTCTGAATGAATTCCCGTGGCTTCCTCTTTGATTCCAAACCTGACTGAATTTTCATTGCCGTTAACGATCAGTTCAGTGAGTTGTTGTTGCCTTTCCCGATGATTTACAATCCTTTCACTCCTGCCACGACATTCTTGTGTTTTCTCCGGGTCACTCGTGCGTTCGTTGCACTTTGTTGGTTGATCTTTCGTTATCCTCGACGATTCGTAAATAACAGTACGACCAGCTGACACGTTATTATCAGTTTTGTCACCAGGACGCCAGGGTTTTGTATTGGGTGGTGGTGGTGCTTGTCGTGTTGGACAGGGTAGTCTTGGGGTGCGTTTTAATGCCTCAGCAACCACCTGTCTGCTGGGTCTTGGTGGTACAGGGGGTGGATGAGGCCTGTGAGTCGCTGCCAGCTGCATCGGTGATTTCACTTGTCTATCCGATGACCAATTGAACTTGACAGATCTTACTCATGTCTTACGGACTCAAATCCCAAGGTCAATTACGTACGCACAAACAACCATTACATAATTCACGAGTTGATGCACTTGAGGGAGGGGACAAAGGACAGAAGCCACTTGTTGGAGGCACCATAGTTTCGAGTTTCTCTAGCTTGTCTACACAATTGTCGCTAATCACTCGTGATATCGAGGAATGGAGCACGCGAGTTCATGACCTAATCATCTAATCATCATTCGAGCTGTTGGGGAATTGTGATTACGAGGATTTAGATCGTGGCAGCTAGGGTTTATCTATTTTAATGTGGGAGATTATTTTTTTATGGTATTAGCTATCGGCTGTACAGCCAACAACGAACTGGGGATTGGACTGACTCTGCAATCCCGCAAACATCCTTCGCGTTTGGTTTTACCCACGTGACTTTAACACACAGCTGGGTCTTTGAGTGTAGGTAGATTTACTGTCTCACTCTTGCAGGGAGATTACTTGAGGATATTGTCAGGTGGAAGGGAGGGTGTCTCTGTCAGGTAGCCTTTCCAGATGTGTCGGTGAGGCCTGGTGTCTCACATATTCTAGTATCGGCGCTGTGGTTTTGTCGGATGCACTTGGTATGGGTGATCACGATACCGTAGTATCGCGTGAGAGTTGCTGACCACAGAAAATTAAAAAAAAAAAGAGAGAGATGGAGACGAGAGTGGGGGAGCACTCGGGAGTATTCTTCAGTATTCTTGTTCTTGGGATTGCTTGGGATCAGGGACGTGGCATCACACGGACCCCCACAGCCTGATTTATTTCGTTATCAGAGGGTAATTGATCAATTGCCGGAATTATTAATGAAGATTTTGACCATGGAGAATTAATTGAGATGAGATGATTTTTTTAATTCGTTTCAACTCAGAGTCTCAATAATTTTTTCGAGAGATAGCCGAAATTATTTTGATTTCTATATAAATTTGAAAAATTTGGCAAATTGAGTTTATTGAAAATATTCTCGCAATATTCTTGCTCATAATATATGATTCAATAAACAGCTATGACCTCGGATATTGGCATTCGTTTATTAATTTATGACTGAATTAATCACACCTGCTTTGATCACTGCCTTGGTATGTCACTTTAAAATTCAACTATTTCAAATGCACACATTTATTTTGTTGATTAGCTCGTCACGCAACATCGAGCAGAAATACACGGTATGAAGAGTAACGCGAGTACTTGTTTCACTGCATTCTGGATATTTGTTTTGTTGGAACTGGTTTATTAAATTTCATTTTTTTTCTGTCGAATGTCTCGCGGATAGCCTTTGAATCGAATTAATTGTGAATTCTTACCTTTGATAAACTGAGTGCTGACAACTGAGGGAAGCCCGTGCGATGTCTTCTTATTATTCTTTAAACTTCCATTCTTGACGACACATTGGGCACAAACTGCTGGTTTGCTGGGAGTGAAGCCACTTCATGATGCAGTGAATGTGAAAACAGTGAGAGCACTGACCCCAAACTGTAAATACATTTTAATTCATTTAGTTGACTGATTTTTGACTTGTACAGATCTGTTTTCGAAGTAGTACTAGGAAAGCGTGGATTTTGGAATTTGGTATTGTCGTATGACTCAACCGATCGATATTCTACAGAGAAATGCGCAGGTCATCATTTCTGCCATTCAGTCATTTCGTCCACTAGATTCTCCTTCTAATTGCATTCTAAATTTTTTTGTCAATCATTTCTAATTGTTATTAATTTCCACTTATTCATTTATCTACAAACTGACATTAATATATTTCGGTAATAGAATGTACGAGAGCAATTTATTTAATTAATATTCCCTTCATTTGAATTGAATCATAGAATGTTTGAGGAGTTATTTTATTGGAGGGTAATTTAATTTTGTCGTTAATTTGAATTACCTACCTAAAGGACAATCATCACCAGGAGTCTTGCAGTCCGGACAGCTGGCGTCAAATGGCATTCGACAAATTCCACAATTGTCATCATTAGCAATCCATCTCCAAGTTGCAACGCCTGTCCAGCCTTAGAAATATAAATAATTGAATAAATAAAATAGATTTACGATGTACAACAATCATTTTATCTTTAGCAACTATTTTTGTTGGTTAGGAGAACCTTTTAACGATGAAATTTAATTAAAAACACTCACTTTTGACGATCACCTTCATGTTATTAATGATTTGGTCAAAATGATTTGTTATCTAATTAACAGAACTATCGATGAAACAAAGAAATACAATTTTCGTGAACAAATTAAGTTTTTGTGGTGAAATACTACGAAGAAACTTGTAGCTGTTTATCCTCCTGTATGTACCCATGCTACCAACGTGATCAAATGAAATCTCTCTGTAATATTTGATTCAAAAAAGGATGAATAAATACTGATTTGCATTTATAAAAAATTATTACTGTACTTTCTAGTTTTAGACTTTGAAATATTCAATAAATAAAATTTTTCCTGAAATTATAGACAATTGTTTCATTGAAAAAATCGAACAGTCACAACTTTTTTATAAATTCATTTTTCTCGAGAATTGTTGTTTTTACCTCCCCCTGATTTGAAAATTCCAAGAATAAATTATTATTGAGGGGTAGTTTTCCCCTGACCAATCAAAGGTCTCAGAAATATCTCAAATCTCTTTTGTGTTCTTCTTCTTTGTTCTGAAAGCGTTATAGCTGCTTGGAACTTCAGAGGAAGCAGATTACTCTTCAAATCATTTATAAAATATTAACTATTATCCCTGGAGCTTGTTTCATCAGAATACATAATATATCAATGGAGGAGGCATTAATGGGAAGAAATCGAGGTCAAGCTCGAGGAATTGCAGGTCTTCTAGCGAAAATAGCTCTACCAAAATCATCAACAGCAGATGTGCCTCCACAAACACCTCCTCAGGTTGAATACATTCCTCTCATTGAAATCCTCAATTTTTTCTCAAATTCAATTCTATAAAAATATTGTAAAAATACCTCATTATTTACAGAATGTAGAACGTTCTGTGCGTGACACAGCAAAACTTCCAGGACCTTTTCAGGCTCAGCCTCCTCTGGAAGAACCCCTCATCCCGGGGGGAGAATCCACCTCAGGTTTGGGCAGAGGTGCCCTAAGAGGAAGACGAATTCTTATCCCTGAGATTCTTAACACTCGTCCACAACACGTCGCCAGCAACAAAAGGGGATCTTCTGGACAGGGAATTCTCCTGGAGGCGAATTATTTCAAAGTAATTGAAAAGCCGGATTGGTGCCTGCAGCAGTACCGAGTCGATTTCCACCCTGAGGAGACTAATACTCATATTAAAAAAGGACTTGTGCGTCAATGTTCCAAGCAGTTGGGGTCCTACATTTTTGATGGGACAGTGCTCTACACAACTCACAATTTAACAGCTCAAGAGGTGAATTTATTTCTCATTCATATTTTAACTGATTGTCCCAATTTTTCTTAATCAATATTTCCATTAAATTATTGAATGGCATCAATTTTTTTCATCTAGAATTTGGAACTGACGGCAATACGCCAACAGGACGCAGCAAAAATCTGCATCACCATCAGATCCGTTGGTGAACTTGTCAAGGGTGATCCTCACTATCTCCAATTCTACAATATTTTGACCAGAAAGTGCCTGGAATTGCTGAACCTCCAGCTGGTTGGAAGAAATTATTTCGATGCAAACTCTAAAGTATGTAATTCCTCGGCTCTTCTTGAATTAAATTATTCAAATCATTTGACTGTTAAAAATATTTTTTTACAGATTGAAATCAAAGAATACAAACTCGAGTTGTGGCCTGGGTATATCACCTCGATTCGTCAGCATGAGTCTGATATTCTGATGTGCGTCGAGATAAATCATAAAGTAATGAGACAGGAGACACTCCTCCACATCCTGGAGAGAGTGAAAACAGAGAATCCTTACGATTACCAGAACGTCTTCAAGTCAGAAGTGATTGGAGTCACAGTCTTAACTGGTTACAACAATAACACTTATCGTATCGATGACGTGGATTTTAATGAAAGTCCTATGGGAACCTTCCAGAGCAAAGGGGAGACAATTCGTTACATGGATTATTATAAAAATAAATACGGAATTGTGATCACAGTGAAAAATCAGCCGCTCTTCGTCAGTCGATCCTCAGCTCGTGATCGTCGTGCTGGAAAGAACGATATTATTTATTTGGTTCCTGAATTGTGCAGAGCCACAGGTAAATCTATTTTTCACCAATAATTATAATTAATTTATTGACAGATTCGCCAAGAAATTGCCTTATTATAATTTACTCTAGGCCTCACTGACGAGATGAGGAGTGACTTTCGTCTGATGTCAGCCCTGGCCATGCATACCAGAGTAAATCCTCACAGACGTATCGACAAACTCTTGGCATTCAATCGTCGAATGCTCGGTGAAACCACGATTCAAGAGGAGTTCAACAACTGGAACTTGAAACTCGATACTAAACTCGTGGAAGTTCACGCAAGAAAACTGCTCCCAGAGAAATTGCACTTTGGTAATGATAGGCAAGTCGAAGTTGGAGGCAATGGTGATTGGACAAAAAGCAGCAAAGATAAGGGCTTGTATATGACAATGACATTGAAGGACTGGGTCGTCGTGGTGCCAGAGAGACTTATCCAGGAGGCTAAGGTGAATAAAATTCTTTCTATTATGGACTTTACAAATAATTTTCTAGGTTTTTTCATCAATTTTATAAATATGTGTTTAGAGCTTCATATCAATTATTCGATCAGCCACGAACTTCCAAATAAGTGAGCCCCAGTACTTCGAGATTCGCAGGGAACGATGTGAATCGTACACCGAGTGCCTCGAGAGGATCATGAGCAAAGCCAACCCCCAGATGATCATGTGCATTCTCGCGAAAAATCGCGCTGACACGTATTCAGCAATCAAGAAAAAACTCTGTATTGATCGTCCAGTCCCCAGCCAAGTCATCACTGCTCGGTGTCTCAGAGCCAAGGAGATTATGTCCATTGCCATGAAAATCGCCATTCAGATGAACTGCAAGATCGGGGGAATACCCTGGACCATTCATATTCCTCTCAGTGGCCTGATGGTCGTGGGGTACGATGTGTGTCACGATATTAATAAAAAAGGCATAGACTTCGGTAAAACTCAATAATTTCTAAAATATTCCTGTACTCTAATTATTTTTTCAGATTTCTAAAAAATATTGCAATTGTTATGATTCTTTAAGGTGCCCTGGTGGCTTCTTTGGATAAAAAGCTGTCTCGATATTTCTCGACAGTCTCAGCCCACACATCTGGAGAGGAACTCTGCGACCACTTGTCTGCCAGCATGGCCAAGGCTCTCCAGAAGTACAGAGAGGCTAATAATGGTGCCTTGCCATCTAGTATCCTCGTGTACAGAGATGGTGTCAGTGAGGGTCAAATTCCATTCGTGGTAGAGCACGAGGTGATGAAGGTGAAGCAAGCAATTTCAAAATTCTACGGGCAGGTAATGCCTGTCAAACTGGGGTACATTGTTGTGACCAAGAAAATTAACACAAGACTTTTCTACAAAGGAAGAAATCCTGAGCCTGGGACAGTGGTAGATAACGTCATCACTAATCCCCAGCAGTATGATTTTTTTATGGTATCACAGGGTGTCAAACAGGGAACTGTCAGCCCAACGTCCTATAGTGTCATTTATGACAGTCTGTCTCTGAATCCAGACAAGATTCAGATCCTCACTTACAAAATGACTCACGTCTACTACAACTGCAGCACCACGATGAGAGTCCCAGCACCTGTGCAATTAGCACATAAATTATCTTTTCTTGTGTCACAATCTATCCACACACCTCCAACCAACAACACTCTGGAGAGTCTTCTCTACTTCCTTTAAATTAATAATGATTAATGAGAATAATAACAATGAAAATGATCATTGTCATTAATTAATTGGTAATTATGGATTCGCTATCAGTTTTTAAAATATATTTGTTAAAAATGAACAATTGAATAAATAATTATTTTTAAAATATGCTCTTAGAACTTGTTATTATTGTTACTGTCGTAATTTTTTTCCAAATTTATTTAATTTCCAGAATGAAAATGTAATAGGACGTGAAGAATCGAAAAGATAAATGCATATCTACTCCATAATCTTCAATTCTGTAATTCTTACTCGACTCAATTACATAAATGAATAATAGTTTCATATACAACATGATTTTATACAATGTCTGATGAGATTGAACAATATTCGCACGATGATATTGTACAGAGTGTATTAACTTTTATGAACGAATAATGAGAATTGTCTTGATCTAAACCTAAAACTCCCTCAACAGGTCAATTAAGCTTGTACAATTTAAATTGGCAATAGTCATTCCACAAACTCGTCACGAAATGACACACCTCTTATTCTAGATTTGACCGTTCACTTGTTCGAGGCCAACAGGCGATTTGGAGTATAGATTATCAATAATAATATAAACGCAATATAAGATGGAACTGGACGGATCCCAGTCAAACGATGAGACAAGTTAATAATTTAAAGATATTCACCTTTCGTGTGCTCACCCAAAATGTTAGAGCACAATCTATTTATTACAACAATTCGTCATTAATAAATATGAAAAAGTTTCCCTCAAATTTACATTAACAACTTCACACGAAAATAGTTTATTTTTCCAGAAGTTTGGAGTGTTTTCATTTTCTACGAATCAATCCTGAATTGCAAGGATATCTATTTTTCATTCAATTCCAGTTAAAGATCCAAGAATATGATCTCAGAAAAAAATTCATGCAAGCATAAAGGAGTCCTCCGCAATTCGGCACTTGAAATTGTCTAAAATCAGACTCTGACACCAATTCTGGGTCCTAGTCTCGGCATCAGGTACACGTCGTCCTCGTCAGCTGAATCCTCACTACCTTCTGAGTCGGATTCAGGGAGAGGTTCAGGGGTTGCACCGAGTTTAACTAGATCAGTGGCGAGTTGGCTGTCAAGACAGATTGCAATCTGATAAGCAGTCAGTCCAGCATAATTTTCGGCATCAAGACAGGGTCTGCATTCTCTCAGGAGAAATGATACGACTGAGTGACAGCCATTTTCAATAGCAATGTGTAATGCTGTTTTGCCGGAGAGTCCTTCCCTCGCCTCCAAATCTGCTCCCAGTCTCAGAAGAAGACGAACTAGGTCGACCTGATTCTTCGCTGCTGCCACGTGTAAGCAAGTTTCTCCTGTTAATAAATAAAAAATTACATTTCACTAACGAATCGTTTCAGAAGAGAAGAAAAGAAAGTTGTGAGTGAGATTTATTAACATTTATTCGCACTGAATCCTCAAGCTGATATTTTCATTTCTCTATTTTTCCAATTCATTACAAATATATGGAGACAAATAATTTATTTTTTGTTGAAATTTATCTTGATAAGTATGGAGTCAAAACATGAAGTCTATTAACGCGACATTCACCACCTGATTTAATTCGAAAATAAGTATGAATGTCAGTCCTCCATTTTTACCCAGTTTATTTATGTACAAAATAAAATGGTACATGCCTCCAGCGATTACAGACGCAAGTAGGAAGCAACAGTGAATCATTGGCCGAGACTTGGCTGGTCTCCCAGGTTCCAAACTAGGATAGCCAAGCTCAAAGTAATTTTCTAAGTATAAATTCTGGCACTAGTCCGGGTTATTTCCTCGTCCATCGGTGAGGCATTTCGAATAGCGAAATATCGATAGATTTCGATAACCGATTGATAAAAATTCATCTGCATGGATTATTCCATGTCGAGTCATCAAGAGATTCTACGTAGATTTGCCAGTGAAAAAATTATTGACATGTCATCGTAATCATGGCAATCAAATGATATTTATTGTGAGAAATCAGTCCCTCAGAGCCTACGCCATTCTCGGGCTTTCCCCAGAGATGAGTGCAGGCGCAAATAACCCCAGGTATTTAAAAAAAACAATCAAAAACATGTGTCTGCGACACGTATGTGATGTAATATGCCGTTGTTGTTGGACATAAATTTAGGATTTGCGTGAAACCAGTCGTCATATTTTATTTATCATTCACTCAATAAATCCCGAAGATATTTCGATCTATCAATACCAGAAAAATTTCAAATCTCAATTTAATTCACCACATACATTCCCTTCCAATAATTTCAATGAAATTTTTACAAATTTAATTCGAGTTGAATTGTATTCTCAAGCAGGAGAAAAATCTCAATGAAATTCCAGACCGATTGGAGATCGATTGATAGAATATTAATATCTTCCAATAATATATCTAATTTATGATGGAGTTTTAAAATCCTCTCGAAAATTGAAGGTTTATCCGCCCACAAATTGGAATAGTCAGATGGAATGAATATAAAATGTGCGAATGCCATTCTTTCTATCGTGGGGAAATCCCAGTCCGTCGTGCGACTGCTTTGAGAAATTCCTCATCGGATATAGCCTTGCGTGTTTTCCCAACTACGGGACATTATTACACAGCTCTATGTCCAAAGCAAATGCTATTTCAATTAAAAACGCATTAATATTCAATGTCACTCCAAAAGTGTATTTTACAATTTTCCCAATTACCACTGCATTTTGATTTTTTTTTATAATTATGGCATACAAATTAGTAATGATTAATCAATATTAACAGTATATAATTAATAATTGATCGTTATCGTGTGAGAATTTGATTTCCATTTAATAGTTCACTATCTGTACTTTCTATTATTGCAATGAAATTCTTTTTAATCGATTTTGGATTGAATACAATGGGATATTGTTGTTGGCATGCCCGAGGGTATTTGAGATTGAAGAAGAATAATCTCAGGAGGGGATATGAATCGTAACAATTCCCTCGGGGAAAACCCACGCATTTGGGTAAGACCTGTGATTTTCACTCGACATTATCACTGTACCTTGGCTCAAAGATAACTTTCCATGACCAATATTTGAAGATGGGGAATTCCAACAACTTTCTCACTCTCTAATAATGGGGAATTTCCAATTTCTAATTTTACCCAATAATTTTTAATACGAGTGGATAGCAGATTTTTAGATAAATCGATTTTGAAGAAATTCTTCGACTTTCTCTCGGTTTTTAGAGTTTGAGTTAAAATTTTTATGGAAATTTCAAGGGAAAAATAATGCACATCGAGTGAAAAAACGATGCCATCAATATATGATTAATGGTCTTCTTGACACGAGTAGTGTTTACGTAAGGAAAAAAATGTAGAGAGAAGGTCTAGGGTGAAATTGAGGTCGATCGTTGGAAGGCGAGTGCGAAATTCTGGGATTTCCCACCGAAAACATTGAAGACTTTTTTTTTCGGTGCGTAAAAACCCCAGGCTTTCGTTGGAGTTATACTTCCGTTGGTAACAAACCGAGAAACCGTTGAATTTCATGAAGAACAACTATTTTAGCTACATCTTTTAATAAATCCTGTCTTACATGTCTCATTGCTAATCACAATAGCCTCAAGTGACCTGTGTACTTGCGAAATAAAAAAGATGTATCAATTTCGCGCGAATAAACATGAAAGAAATCCGTATCGATGTTTTCACCACGAGATACTCCAAAATTACCTTGTCACCCTTATCAACCCACTGATAAGGTAATCCTCTCCAAATTCCCAATTACCAATGACTCAAGATTCTTTCTCCTTAAGCTAATGACTTTATTTCATTTCCGGGTAAATACCCGATCCCCTTGATGACGTGTTACGGAAATTCCATTGTCCATGAGTATGGCAAAAATAGATCGGCGATAATTCTAATTTATTATCGATTATTGAGGCAACTATCCCGAAACATAAACATCGAAAATGTGTATTTAATCGGGTGTGATGAACCCATAGATAAAAAATTTATCGTACAGTTTTCTCATTGAGGCATTTCGTCAGCTCGACCCTGGGATTTCCCAACGTATGTCTCTCACAATAAATTTCATGACAGTATCATTGACTTATTCCACTCAATTATCTATGAAACAGTGCCCATTCACTATTGGTTGTAACGCGAATTGATTTCCCGAGATATTTCCCGACAAATCACCGATAAACTCAACGGACTTTATTTTTCCCCTCGAATCAATTGAAAGAATTTATGATGTCATCATTAAAAAATTCAACATTCCAATTCTTCATTAAAATAATTGTCCTTCCTATTACTAATCACTATGATTATAACTGATGGATAATGATAAATTACCTTGATAGTTGATTTGCTCCAAATTCTGGGGTAAAGCTGGAATTTTTTTGTGGACACCGAGATGATTGCGTTCGATGGGTGCCAATGAATCAGTGAGTGCCCTGGCAGCTGCTAGATCATTAGCAGCACAAGCCAGATGGAGTGCTGTATTTCCCCTGCTGTCTCTCAATGAGGGATCAGCACCTCCAAGAATCAGGCGTCTGACGATTCTCGGTTGTTTAGTTAATACCGCAAGATGTAATGGGGCCTGACCATCGTCGTTGATGATGTCTAAGAGACACGGATGTGGCACCATTTTTATCAGACTGAAGGCTGCTGCCTCCAAGAAGCCCTGGATTATCGCAATGTGGAGTTGACTGTTGAAAGACAAAATAAATTATAAAAATACCCATTGATTGAAAAAGGCTATGGAGAATTCGGATAAATAAAAAAAACTTACGTATCCCCATCGCTATCTTGGATATAATACAGCTGCCAGGGCTCGATGTGTTCCTCTTCCTCATGTCTGTGTTGTTTCTCCTCGACCTCGACGACAATTGGCTCCAGGATGGGTTCAGGCTGAATACTATCGGTCCTTTCTCGCCCCCCAAGTTGATTCAACTTGACATTTTTTATACTCAACTGACTGAGACTCTCACTCAGACCAAGATCAACACCACTGTCGACTCTCATGGATGATCCCTCGTTTTCAACTTCTCCAACCAATTTCTGAGGCTCGTCCTCCACCCTCGGTGGCTCAATATCACCACTGATATCCTCACTGATATCACTCGATACTGGAATAGGCCCTGAGAGAAAACCAGAGTCAACTATTCCGGAATCTTCATCCTGCTTTCCACTGTACATGTTTTTTCCTGACGCATCAGCTCCACTCGATTGCTGCCACATGTTGTCAATTGTCTGGATTATTTTCTTTTATCTGTCAATATATTCCAATCTTCACGATATTCACTATCAAAACGTAATTCGTTATCGAGTCTCTTAGAATCTACTTTACGTAATTCAATACAAAAAAAAAAATTATACACTTATTCGTCGTAGATTGGAGGATTACTATCTCATGGCCACTTGCATTTCTATTTCTTTCTGACAATTACTCGCAAACACTTATCACTGATTTAGGTCGCGGTTGGGTAATTGGGTAATTCACTGAATTTCATTTCTAGGATTTGTTTTTGGGGGTTTTTCAGTTGGAGGTGATGACGATTGAAATTTTCCGTTGTTGATGCTCGATGGCGTGGACGCCGTGTACTGTTTGAGGGGAAGGTAATGAGTGGTAATGAGACTTGCTAGCGTTAGCTCAGGACTAAAACCACAAGAATCTGGGGAATTTTCAGAGGAAGGGAGCGAATTCGGTGGGGGTCTAGCAGAATCTAGACACCAACAAGAGATTGCGTTGGAGAGAAAATTATGATAGATGGCGCCAGACAAGTATTTTTAAATTAACCTAGCCAAGAGACGTTGATGATATTCGCCTTTTCAAATGCATGCTTCTTTTGCTGAGAGGAAAATTAGGCGGCTATTTCGAATAGCCGTGATCATTGATGGTTGAAAAATTCATACTGAGCGAATATTGAGGTTCAAATCGATACGTCACTCGAACTTTTAAAATTCATGATAACTTTATTCAACATCACTTCACTTTGAGAGCATTCTAATATTATATTTCGTGTTGCTTTGTAAGTTAATAGTAATCGCAGTAAATGTAAGCAAAAGTTGAATCGCATTAATTTTATGTTGGAGTGGAAAAAATTCATGATCAAAACTACTGATTCCCTTTCTACGTGCACAAAGTTTTTCCGTTTTCAATAAAAAAACTAATGTCAATGTATGAATTATTCACTGAGTTCCACTGTACGCACTATGTACTTTATAGCTTTTTTTTGGTAGCAAGATATATTGCATGTGAAGATGTTAATAATTATTTCCACACAAATTGACTTTCCAGAGACTATATAAAGCCACAATGTAAGATTGCCATGACAATAGTCAGGTTCTAACACAGGTTCTAGCTCTCGATTTCCAACGATTTAAAAATGCCTGTGAATCGAGGAATAGTATCCCATTTTTACGAAAATAAATCGATCTTTATTACTGGAGGTGATGAGAGTCTAGGAAAAATTCTGATAGAAAAGCTTTTGCGTTCATGCTCTGGAATTGACACCATTTACATCTTGTTGAAACCCATACCAGAGAGGACAGCCGAGTGGTTGAATATTGCAGTATGTATCAGTGAAGAATTAATTTGAATAAAAATTTGAGAGACTGCAGTTTTAATTTTTTAATTACCACAGCTCTTCAGTGAATTGCGTGCAGAAAACTCAGGAATCTTTTCTAAAATCGTAGTAGTTGATGGAGATTTGAATGAACCAAGCCTAGGCCTGAACAAGGCTGTCGAAGAAACATTAATAAATAATGTCTCTATGGTATTTCATTGCGCATCCGTATCAAAGTCAAATGCAACATTGAAGCAATCTCTATCCAATAACGTTTTTGGAACTCTCCGTCTTCTAAAATTGTGCCAACGAATGAAAAAGATCGAAGTGAATATGCAGTACCGATAATCCATCTTGTTTACTCCGTAAAGATGGAGCGAGTATTAATATGATTTTATTTTGTAAAAGGCGTTCGTGTATGTATCAACTTTATACTCTACTGGTTATAACCAAAACATCGAGGAACGTCTCCCCAGAATTCCATGTCTTAATGGAATTAACGCTTATGAATTGATGAATGAAGAAGAGTTAATGAAATTAATTCCGAATGATTCGGTGAATAAATGGCCGGACGCGCATTCATTTTCACAAGCTATTACCGAAGTAGTTATTAATCAGCAAAAGGGTGCACTGTCTGTTAGCATTGTTCGTCCATCAATTATTTTGTCAATAATCAGGGAACCGATTCCAGGGTGGATTGATGATTATTCTAACCCCACGACGATAATCATCAATAATGCAATCGGTGTTACAAGGTACAACTAATCTTATAATTTTGCACATCCATAACTACAAAATTCTCACAATATCTCTTTTTGACTTTTTAACTCAAAATTATTGATAACACCAATTTTTTTATCCAATTTTCTTTTGCAGATGCTTGTTCATCCCCACAGAATACGCTATTGATTTAGTTCCTTCTGATTTCGTCGTAAATTTGGTAATTTGCAGTGCTTGGAAGACTGCAGTCGAAAAGAGCAGTGAAACAAAAATTTACAATTATGGATCAGAAAAATGCAATCCAATCTCCTGCCGGCGATTCCTGGAGGAGTGTAACGTTTATTCAAGGAGTCATCCTTCTAGAAAAATCTTACGATATCCATACACGATATTTACAAATTATTATTACGTGTATGCAATTATTATGGCTATTCAAAATCTGTTAACGTATACTTACCTTTTAATTGCTGGAGATTTCACGATGTTCCGCCTGCAGCAATCAGCAGATCGAGTTTGGAAGTCGTTCTTTCCATTTCTCCATCGAAAATTCGCCATCAATGATTATAACGTCAGAGAACTCAGCAACGAATTGAGTAACAATGACAAAAACCATTTTTTATTCGATGTTGAATCGATCAATTGGCAGAGATATATCGAGAATTATGCTAAAGGGATTAGGATTCATCTTCTGAAAGATGATATGGGTAAACTGGAAGAAGGGCAAATACATCTAAATAAGTGAGTTCTCTTCAAATTTAGAAAATAATGCCTGTTCATTTATTACTATTTCTTTACAATAATTCCGGGTAATTTTTCTTCTAGATTGTATTGGAAGGAAATACTGATACAAGTGTTTCTATTAATGTTTTTACTTGCTTCTGGATATTATCTAATTGATATAATGATTCCGACCCTCATCCATACATACAGGAATGGGATAGCTGCACCGTGTTACAACTGTCGATTTACTCAACCGGGTCCATTCTTTGGTTGCTATTGGCAAAGTTAATTCTATTTCTAACATATTTGTGTTTCCGTAATATCAAAAAAAGAATTCTATAAACTATATTTGTCATTTAAAAAATCACAGCTTGAAAAATGTAAAAAAATATCTTTTGTGTTACACATTATGTGAGTAACTTATCACAGTTTATCGGTGTTTTAATGTCCATTGTTTCACTCCAAGAAAACCACCGAGATATTGTAAAAAAATGTCCATTACTGTTCCATACAGTTATTATCACATGTGCCCGTAATCACTAAATATTTTCACTTGTCTTCCCATGGCTGGAAATTGTCAGTTTGGCCTTCCTTGGCACCTTCTTCCTCGAAAAACTTCGACGGGTTTGTTTTACTAACAATAAGTGAGCATGAATCCTCACCAAAAATGTTTAAGATCGACAAATTCGATGAGGAGCCATGGTTGGATATTCCCTGAGCTGTTTTTTGCGGAACGACCACATTTAATACAATTGCTCGTGATCGCATTGCATTCATGCGTGGAAAGAAAATATCTCCTTGTGTCTGATTCATACCGGTAGTTCGATGATCTGTTTGATGATCGATTCTGACGGAATCGAGGAAGTCTGCATCAGTGAAGTTGCTGCAGTATTCTTACGCTGATCTTCTGTAACCCCATTGGCCGGTGAAGTTCTTGAAGAGCCAGAGTTGTTTGAAGATGGCGATGAGTGTGCGAAGATCGGCCAATTGTTATCGACGCTGTTAATTGCACAATCCAAATCATGCAAAACAGACGCCGAGAAATGTTTTCGCCAACGCTTTCGAAGGGTAAACATCAAAGCTCTCGTTTCGCTATCAGCAAATACGAATACGGAGCTGAAGGTATTTACCAATTGTTCGGCAAACAGATCGACGTATATGTGACTTGCGTTTCCGATCAGTGAATCGAGCAGGTACAGTCCTGCAAGTTTCAATTCCTGGGGGGCCTGAGCGATATGCTGTTGGAGACCTACGACCATCTCAGCAGCATACTCGTTGGCAAGCTTTATTGCCATTGCTGTCAATTCACCAATCGCCCAGGTATCATGCCTATCCTTCAGCCACTCGAGACATGTCCGGAACTCGTTGACGATCTCATGATCCCTTACTTGTACCATTGTTATGATATGCTGCAGGTAATTATCAAGCAGCAAAACTCAGCGGCACACGTTCTGATCACTTGTTGCTCAGTTGCTGGAGGTGATTCCTGGCTAATAGTGATGGCGATGGAATTCTCCTTATTCACCCTCGGCTGAAAAACAGCGACAATTTAGTTTTTAGTTACATCGGCTTTACCTCAGTTTTATTTTATCTTTCTTTTTTTTTAGACTATAAATTTTTAGTGTATCTCGTATTTAATGGTTTTTACCTTAGTTTCAATCACTGGTTAAATAAGGAAGACAGTTAAATTTTCAGCGTTGTGGATGAATTTTTACGATTACTGGCTGTAATATCGTTTTACGGTCTTCATCGGTCGACGGATCGGCGGGAACTAATGTCAATGGAGACCCTCGTGGCGTTTGAGGGTGGATCTCCCCGTATTTTGGGTAACCAGCGCCACCACCACGCCAAGCGGACGCTTGGTGTAACTAACTCCTACGAACCGCAAGACGGCATAATGTCGTTTTTTTTGGTCAACGTTAGAAAGCAAATTAATGAGATTCCTCCTTAATCAATATAATTCCATAAATATAAATATCCAACTATATATTTTTTATTATTTTTTATATTATTTTTTTTACAATTTTTTTTAGCGCGAAAATTTGTATCCCTCTCAAATTTGATTTTCACCTTTGGCCGCGGGAGGGAGGCGCATGCGTGTGACGACAGTATCTGCGATCCCTCGTGGCAAATAATAATACCACAGTCTTATGGCTGCAAAAATAATTCGGTGCAACAATGCCCTTGCAATTGGTGTCTACTCTCTATTATGGCGGATATAAGTGACACATTCAATTCTTGGTTAACCGATAAATTGAAATCGTTGAATACCGATGAAGTTGTGTATGGAAATTATATAAGAGCTATATTAGACAGTAATGAAACGGAGGATGAAAAATCAGAGGCACTCGAGAGTGTCATAGCGGGGATAACGGTGAGGACCGTGAGGATTATGAGGATTGTGAGGTTAGATTGTACTCGGCGTTAAGTTGACGATGAATTTGGCAATAAATCATAATACTAGGCCAGAATTGAACTCACATATGATGATAATAAGATAATACAAAATAATGAGACACATTTTCAAGTGTGAGAGAGACTTTCATGGATGATTTTCTAATTTTTGGCTTTTTGTTTTGTTTTCATTAGGAGGAGAACATCAGCGAGCATGTGGCGAATATACTTGTTGCCTACAAGAATTTATTCTCCAAGGAGCTGGGGCCTGACGTTCCTGAACCGACTGAGGATGTCGAAGTGAGACTTGCCAGGATGATGGAGTCACAGAGTTTGCCAACGACGACTCAGCGAAGCTACACTGCTGAGGAATTGAAAATTCGTGAGGCCATACTCTCCCAGTATTCGCAGATGTCTGATGGTGAGGAGGAGGAAGGCGATGGTGAGGATGATGGTGTTGCTTCTGGAAAGCCTGATTGTGGTATTGAGAAGAATACAAATGCTGCCGCTATTGTCCAACAGCAGAGGGAGATGAGGGAGAAGGCAAAGCTTGATAGTCAGAAGAAAAAGGAGAAGGATAAAGAGGATCGGTGAGTTTTATCAACATCATTACTGTGGGAGCAAGTGAATTTAAAATTCAATTTAATTGACAGCATTGGGGAGTCATTTGTTCTTAGATAAGTTTGTGATGAACGTAATCAAAGCTTGAGGTGATTTTCATGATTTAATTTTTTATTGCAGGGAGAAACAAAAACAGATGAAAGAGGAGAAGAAAGAGAAACGTAAGACAACAAAGGGCGAACGCAGGAGGTAGCATGGTGACAAATGAAGTGAAATTTGAAAACTCGATTACCCCTAGAAACTTGATAAATTCCCTCAGAACTCATAGAAATAACTTATTTGATCTGCATGTCATTTAAATCCCCATGGGAGCAATACTGTCGATAGCGATCTCATCGAATCCCAAAGCGCGAATAGATGTCTATGATTCAAACACGATTGTATATTCCGCATTTGTTTGTTTTTAATAAAGATAATTCTGTCTTACGAAGAGCCAGTGGAAAGAATCAATTTTGTTGAATCCGTCTTGCATTTTATTCTCTTAGTAAATTAAAACAGTCCATGAGAAAAAAATATTTGGAAATAAACATCTAAACAGTACTTTAAAATTGAAAACATGTTTGTTGTTCACCATTATATAGAGATAAAAATTAAATGTTAAAATATTTCAGTCTTGATTACACGACGAGATTAATTTCCTCGTTGTCATAATCATCATGACCAAGAACGAAGGGCCAGTTTCTTCTTGATATTCTCGCTAGCTCACCACGCAATAAATTAAGTAAGTCATCGAGATAACGAAGTTCACTCATATCGCGATGAAGTCGTGAAGTTTCATTCAATAAATTATCGAGTTTTCGTTCCTCACACTGAAAGTCTATTCGCAGGAGTCCAATATCTCTGTACATGTCTTTGCTATTTTCCTGGAGCTGTTCCAGCCTCTCCCGGAGCTCATTGAAATCTTTCTCGGTTGTTCTGTCGTATTTTAACGATTCAGGATCAGTTTCTGCTTCGATTGACAGCGCAAGTCGCGTTAGGTAATCGTGGGTGGATAAATTTGGTGAGAATCTATCCTGGATTAGGTAATTGATGTCTGGAGGATGAAGAGTTGTTGGTGAGAGACCCTCGAGGACAGTCACTACTTGAGTAATTACTCCTCTCGACTGGCGCTGTTCATCAAGTTAGAAAAGACGATTACACGTGTTTTTCGTGAGGAAAGCTAAAAAAGAGTAAAAAAATATTAATCAATTTTTCACCTGACATTTGCATATCGTGGAGACCGTTTGTAATTCCGAGGAACAGACTGGGGTCTGAAATCCAGAACTACTTTCACTCCAAGTGTTGCTTTGGATCCCAGAAGTATCGTCTACCGAGTGGGATGATTTTTCGTGGTCTCCTAGGCTGTTGCATAAGTATCCATAAGTCGAGGAGCTGCTGCTTGCGGGCTCGGGTGTCTCGTAACGAATGGGACTCTCTCGATTGGCAATTTCGAGGAGTTCTTTGGAAGGAGATACCTCAGTCTGAACCACTTGGCGTATCTGGTGGTCTCGATTGCGACGAATTCGTCGATTTGATAGAGGAACTCGAATTTCCGGTGCACTAGAGTCCAAGAGAGCTTCTAATTGCGAAGCTCCTGGAATTTATACATTCAAATATAATTAAATGTGAATTATTTTTCATTTTTTTAAATATATTTTTTAAATAAAATCATCATCATCAGGAACATGTCGAGTTGAGAGGAAAAGTTGAGGAATTCGTATGGTTCTAATTAATGTTCAACTGAAAAATGAATCACCAATTTTAGATGAATCAATAAGATCGTCCAACTTGATCCTAAACCTGGGTATTTTAGATCGTGACTCGTTGAACGGCGACGACGCAATGCCATCCTCGAAAGAGCTCTCGAAGAAATATTTAGGAGAAGGAGTTAAAATCCTGTACTCCCTCGACCTGACAAGTCTCTCCGGAGTGTAACAAAATGCAGATATCTCCCCACTTGAGTCATCCCCAGAGCCATGTGAAAACGATGCACCCCAGTTCGATACAGATTCAATTACATCGTCCCCAATAACTCGAGGATCCAGGTCATCTGGATGCACCAGGGACTCAAGCTCGATGTTCTCCATCGTAACCGATGTATTGGACTTCCTAGGAGTCGACCAGTCCCTCGTACAAATGCAGTTATCGTCTTCACTTATTCCTTCAGCTACCAAACACAAACTTTTCAGGTGATTTTGGGAACAAGAAGTACGATTACACCGAGTTTCAGTGGATATTTTATGGTCGTCTATATATGTGCACGTAGGGAGTTTTTGCTCAGACTCGGTCTGAACTTTGCCCCCGAGATTAGCAATGGGCCATTGAAAATTCGCATCAGCTTGTCTGTGCTCGTTCGCGTCATCGATTACCACTATCTCGTCGTCAAACATATTTCCAAGGAATACGTCACTTTGATGGCTTTACCTCTCAGCTTTACCACTCTAACGTTATTCCACTCTTGATTATTTTTCCACTCTCAATAATTCTCCAACTACTCAGCACATCCCGATATTTAATCACTCGATAAATGTTATTAGTCTCTAATTTGCGTTTTTCAGTCTCACTTGACATTTTTCAAGTACTTTAAATGACATTTCATTATCGATAATACGAGCTCAAAAATTTTCAGAATTTATTATTTATTTATTCGTTTATAAGCACTAGTGGATTGTTCTAGCAACAATTCATCCTCTTATCGCGACGAGCATGGAAAAACTGAGGGGAATTGAGAATAATTGTAAAACATTGGCAGACTTCAGGCTTTACCCCGTTCTAGTCCATCATGCGGTCATATTATGACCTCATGCGGTTTAGTATCGACAAATCCAATTCTTCGGTTGTGTGGAGCGATAATCACTGATTCCTCTGATCCATTTACGTGATTCAATAATCGATTGAGCAGGGATTTATCGAATTGACAATTTGATAATTGATGATTCGATGGGAAATAGTCATCAAAAAATCAATCATACGATTGAATTACAATTCAGTTGTTATTCTCCACTCATTACTGAAACAATTTATTATTTTTTTTTCTTAAATCCTATTTGAATTGTCTTAGTCAACCACATGCTGACTAATTGGATATTTTCCTTGCTGTTTACTTTCGTCAATTCATATAACGTATATAAGTTTTAATGAGACTCTATTCACTGATGAAATTGTGTCGCTCTTGATTGAAATTACAGGGAATCAATTTTGAAATTACTCCGACGCTCGTAATCCCATAGCATGTAATGACAATTAATTAATTTTTATCAAAAAATCAATCCAAAAATTATCTCGACTGAAAATAGCACGAAAAATTCAACGTGCGCCATTTGTACGCGAAAAATTCAAGGTGTGCCCTTTGTATTTGTTGCTGAGAAGGTTCAATAATTATTTGTGATGATCAACTCTCGGGTGATGATTTTTCGTGGTAGATGTAATGAATTGTCTTCTACATAAATGAATCTCCACGAAGAGTACAATTAGTATGCAAACAAGTATCAAGCGGGAAGCTGTCGCAGCTTCGAAATAAAAAACCTCGGGGAGATAAAAATATGTGATACGGATTACAAAACATTAACATACGCAACGGCATCACCTGCTCAGAATGTTCAGTAGCAGTGGAGAACATCGGCTTTATCCCCGGGTCATCATCACCTAGACAAATATCTCGGTGTAGTAATAAAAAAAAAATCGTTACGAGAAAACTGGAAACTGCTGTAAATCCGCAGTGAAAAATGAGAATAGCCACGTAAGTGTCTTAATGACTGCAATCAATCTCTTGAAGAGTCATCTCATGTGTTAATCGGCCGTGAAGTATGAAAAGTGGAAAGAACGAGTCTCCTTTTTCCATTTGCTCGACTATCTAAAAAATTAACGATTCTGCGCGAAAATACTAGCGAATTTAAACTTAAACATGTTCCCCCTTTCAAAATCCAAAAAAAATGAAATCCATCTATCATATCTCGCATAAAACATTCGAATTCATTTAATCAACGAAAAAAACTCGTATGAATAATTATCTGAAAAATTGAATCAAGCGAATTATTCAGAATTCTCGAAATGTAGTGATAATTATTTGAATAATTAATAATTCTGTGGAGATAAGATAATGGAAATTATTCTATATCACCGAAATGACATTACAAATGGACGCGAAGAGTTCATTCAAGCGGAATAATGAGCCCATAAATCCTAAAATAAAGTTTCACCTACGCAATAACGAATTTCGTCCGCTAATTTTCGAACACATGCGGTTGAACAAATATAAATACACCATGAGCTGCCTAATTTCATCTCATTTTTCCCACCTGACACAGACTGTTTAACACATCACGTGCTTTCCAAACTGTTTAAAACGAAATATCTGTTCTATCACTCTCTGAATAGCGGGTCGAATAGAGTGAGAATAAAGCGAACAAATATGTGAATAAAGCGTCAACAAATGCCAGAGAAAAGTCATAAATTATGACTCAAGGGTAATTATGAAAATAGGTGCGTGTACTAGTGGTTGTGTTTTTTTTTTGTGTAGAAAGCCCTTGAGAGATAACGTACCGTGTGGTCGTGAATTTAGGATGAGTTGAGATGTTCTTGGTAGATTGAGATATGCGTCGGAGGCTGAGGTGATTTCATTTCCTCCTCGGGACTTAATGCGTAATCCGGGGGTTTTCAGGGTGATACTGATTGGAATAGTGTGTTGTGAATATTCTGGTGCCAATGGGAGTCCTAGGGAGAGTCATCCCTGCACTGTACGTCAATCCAGGACGAGTCAATCCGTTGGAGAGGATCAATGCTTCCTCACGGATGACGATCATCATCTCTGGTGTTTCGGGGATGCTTATCGACTCTGGTCTAACAACGGGTAATTACTCCTTCCCAATCATTATTCATTTAATTAATAATGAGTGATAATAATTGGATAATAATTGTAATAGGATAAATGAATTGGTCATTCATGATTTGATGATGACATCAATGATATATTTTAATGGAATCTCTTGAGTCTGAGATTATTGCTGTAATGAAGTGATTGATGAATTATTGTTTATTGAAAAATTTACAGATCAATTGACCTGAGAACATTGACTATTTGCAATTGGCTTTTACCGTCCATTGACCCTCGAGAGATAATTTCAAGATTTCCCTACATTAAGAAACTCATAATTGCAAACAGCAATCTAACAACTCTGTCCCGGGCGTTCCCCAGTGATGCAAAATACCTCGAGGTTCGTGTGTACATTATTAATTATTAATTTTTTTCACCCACTACATCTGCATTGCTCTTTCGCGTAGAAAATCCACATCACTGGTACCCAGCTCCAGCAGGTGCCCAGAGAGGCTTTCAAATATTTATCTGATCTCAAAATTCTAGATGTTAGGAACAATGCACTGACAAAGATTGATCCAGCTGCACTAGTTGCTCCTAAACTGCAGCACATACACTTGGCAGGTAGACATTCATTCCAATTGATTTTCCATTTTTACTTTAATATTTTCGTGATATCTGATATGACCCTTTTCACTATCAAGACATAAATAGAATTATATCGATTGAATGATTCCAATGAATTTTTATCCAGCGCAGCATGAAACAGTCTATAATATCCAATATCCAATAAGTCAGAATGGGTAAAGTTCAGAAAAAATGTATTTTATTTCGACTACTTGGGCTTTTCCCTTTCTATTTAAATCCTTCTTTACCTTTGTAGTTCAACATTTGAGTTTTCGTTTAAGCTCCATTGAATCCACGGCTTCCAGATATTTTACAACGATATTATCATTTAATATTTGATGATCCAAACTCTTCATTGAGAGCAGTTACGAAATTATTTAGAATTTATATTATTCAGTTATTGATTTTTGGATAAATCCGATGATTGAGTATTCCTGAATGGTAGAATTAGGAGAGGTGTCAAAGGGAGATGAAAATCCTGAAATCTACCTGAAATAAAATCCACTCGTGTCGTCTGAATCATGAATATTAAAACTAAAAAAGGATGCGTCCTACACAAAATTCAATTATATACTCAGCACTAAAACGAGAGTATACGGCTGTTTTAATAAAGAGACAATGTAGAATGAAAATATAAAAACGTGAAATGAATGATAGGTAATCCCTGGAAATGCGAGGATAACACAATGACCTGGATTCTGAATATGACGCATGGATCTGTTGCCCGGAAAATTTTGGATAGAGATAAATTGCATTGCGCTCATCCATACGAGGGACGACCTTTGCTACCAGTAGTTGAAATAATAGCGGTATTAATTTTCATATTCTGGAAGAAAAATAATAAGCCAAGGGAATTAATGGAACGATGGGGATTGTTGCAGACCCTGAGAGAAGAGTGCAATAGAACTGTTTGCCACTGTGAATTAGTTTACGTTGTGGGACGGGTTGGTAAACAAACCCAGAGAAACTTAATAGCATTTGTATCAACGAATTGCAGTCACCAGGGTTTGAGGCAAATGCCAGAGTTTATTCCGGCAAATACTACAACACTGTGGCTTGATGGAAATCAGGTTTGCTATTTTGTTTAAATTATAAATCACTCGATTGACAACAAATCACAAGTTATTTGCTGATTTTCATTGCAATGCTCTGAAATCAAAGATGTGCATTCGAAAGATTATGATTAAATCATTTAAATCATCGACAATGAAAAAATAATATTGAATTTGTTTAATTTTCGTACTTGAAGTGTGTGTGGTCATTTTAAAGACATTTAGATTGTTAATTTAGATAGGAAAAATAATTTTTCCACGGGTTTACTGCTCTGTTGAAATGGGAAATACTAAATAATCAAATTGGCTGTAAATCACTGGCTGTTTGATGATCTTTACTGTTCATCTCAGTATACGGAAAGTGAGTTTAGAGGAAATGTCCTCGGATCCTTTTTGTGAGCCATAAAAGTTTATATAAAAATGTCTCTGAGGGATTTCTCCGAGAGACTTTTTTCAAATAACTCACTATCAGAATATTCCACTGTTAACGAGGATTTTCCGTAAAATGTCAACAGGATTTTCTTTGGGAGATAAAAAATTCAACAATTCATTGAATATTTTGCTGGTTTACAATTTATAGATTACAGACTTGAGTCCATTAATAACAAATCCAGTTTATCGCCAAGTTCTGGACTTATATCTGGATAATAATGGAATCACATCGATTGATCAGTTAGAAGGGTCTGTCTGGCTCGATAACTTCCGAGTGTTAAGTCTCAGAGGAAATAAATTGACGGACGTAAGTTTTTCTGCCGAGGGATATAAGAAAATTCTCAATTATCCCATTTTATTCATGAGGTGGATTTTTCAGTTGCCCACTTATGCCTTCGAGAATGTTCTACTCAAGAGTGGAAATGCTGTTGTTAGTTTGTATTTGGGAGACAATCCCTGGACCTGTGATTGTCTCTTCACACCTGGATTCCAGGTAATTACTGTAATATTTTCGAACCTAAAGCCAATTTCCATTTCCTGTGGATTTCAAGACATTTTCCTCATGAAAATTTCATCTTTCACACCTTAATTAATATCTGCACTATTGTAAATCACTCTTTCATAAATTATCTTTTTATTTCAGGACTTACTGATACGCTACACAAATCTTGTGAAAGACGTGAACAAAGTTCGTTGTAATGCATCGAAAAATTTGGAAACTCTGAATAAACCAATTCGCGATTTAACACGAACCGAAATTTGTATCAGCGAGAGTGAAACAACTTGGCTCCATCCACTCGATGTATTGAACATATTTCTCGCATCAATGATCATTACTATTCTGGGAAAACTTCTGTACGATTATTGGTCCTTCAAGCGTACAGGAAAACTCCCTTGGCTAGTCACCAAAATTCCTTGAAAACTTCGTATTAAATGGTGTTAATGAAATTCGAATAAATAGGAGTCACTCGTTCTCACTCAATCATAAGTTATAATGGAGCCCTGGTGGCACTTTTCTGTGGGAAAGAAGAGAAATAAAAACTAGTCCAATGAATTTTTCGAGATTTTCTTCAACCACGTACCTGAAATATTCGATTACATGAATTATTGCTGGCGAACTTGTTGAAGGGCGGGGGTGACTTTGGAAGTTTTAACTTTCCGCTGGGAGATCTGGCTTTTTTCAAATTCGTGTCTTTCGTCCTTGGGGATATCATTTCTACCGAGATTATAACATAATAACTATATTTCTACTGATATACGTTAATTATACGTTTCCTTGAAAAAATGTTTAGCTCGTGAGAATAATTTTTTTCTACACACATAAAAGTTGTAAAAAATGATTCCTCCGAGTGGAGGGAAATGTGAGGGACTTACGCCTGGGACTTCTGACGGGGATGTGTGAGGGTTTATCACAGTCTGCTGATACGGTTTTCAGTGGTGACACGTTGGAGGGTTGTTTTTTGTGTGGCGAGAGAGGGGGATAAGAATCATTATCATTTTTTATCGGTTTATCTTCGTACGAGGATATCCAAGGCTGAACAGGCGCCAACACAGCTTCCTTGGTGGTTATCGATGGCTCCTGCTTCGCGACTTTCTTTTCGATTAATTTTATCGAGCTTATTGTGGAGATTGTGCGATTGTAGATTTCCTGCGGTACGTTGAACTTTCGTATAATGGATAGCTTGTCTAGTTCAATAAGTTCATTTTGCGGGGGACTATTCAGAGCTTCTTCTGGAAATTATGGAGATTGAGTGATACAATTGCTGGGGTTTAAGTCAAATATTGAAGTTTTTAGGGACCTGGAGAATCGGTGCTCTCGGGGAGGTCCAATGTATTTGAATCTGAGTCTTCGGGGAAGTCGTTCACCATTCGAGACCACTCATTCGAACTTTTGAAATCATTATCGGGGCTGTTGGATTTATTTGAGGATTCGGATTCCGTGTCGGTCATCGAGATTTGTGCCTCTAGATTTTAATGGAAGTTGAGTAATTAATCATTTCCCGATTTTCTCTAATAGAAAATTTCCGGGGAAATTGATGAAATATTTCACTCTCCAATTACGGAAACGATACGACATTTTTATTGGCTATTTTTATGGCCGTTCGGGATCGGGATACTTTTTCTTTTTTTTTCTTTTTCGTTTTTTTTTTCGTTTTTTTCTTCTAGGTACATGAATTATTGTTCGTACAAAGTGTATTATAAAGGTGGACTCTTCTCTGTAGATGAAATGAATAAAAACCCAGCAGAAATGAAACGACGGATTTCCTCCTGTCATTTGCAGAGAGAATTCTCGCTTTATTGAGCAGTTACAATAGTGAACAGTTGCTTCAAACCCCCAGCAAATTTCTGCATAGAATTTTGCCAGATCACAATTTTAAGGAACAAAGTTTTGAAAGAATTTCTTAAATGATTTTCTTATAAAAGCTGATGAGAGCACTAAAGAAGAAAATATTCAGCGCAGAATGTAGTTTTAATTACGCTGACAAGCCACGGGGTTTTTCATTTTTCCTGGCGCAATTTACTTTACAAATTTGTTAATTAAGAATTTTAAATGACTTCAGGACCTAGTAATAAATAAAATGAACTTACCGATCTCTCGATGCCTGAGTGCATGTTCTGCTCGCTTCATAACCCTTTCCATATCACAAAGTAGCGATGCAGTCTGGGGAAATCTCTCCTTCATACTCTCCCAAATATTTTCCACGTTATCAACCCCCTCCAGCAACTTGGGTGGTAATTTAACCAACTTCGACACGCTATTTTCATTCCCCTTATCTCGCGACATTTTCAACTATTGAAATTTATGAGAAACAGCACACACTCGCCGAAATCACAAGAATAATCGATAACCGAAGAGATGATAGATCATAATGCAAACAATTCTTCACTGTTCCTTAAATGACTTGAGGACCTGTGAAAAATGTATAATTTTTCAAGTTATCCGCTTCACACTTCCCACAGAATGAAATAATACTCTGATTCACTGATTTTCTCCACCTCGCAGAATAAAAGAATGAGCCATTAACGCTGTGACATTTTATTAAAATTATAAACACGAGATTACAGTACAATCCACGTAACACGTGTTTTGTCATGCTTAGAAACTGTAGTCGTTGAATCAAGGCCACGTTGATTCAATATTCTCCTTAATAGTATTATTATTTCAATTCTTTTATCAATTATTTCACTCAATCCTTCATTATATAATTACGTTATTATTATTATTTGTTGTCAGTTGTAATTTCATCATTGAAATCAATAATTTACTTACGTACTACATGTGCGAGCCGATTTGTGCTACGTGTACGTACATACATGCATTGTGTTCGATCCTCTATTTCTTAAAATGCTCTCGTGAAATTCAGCGGTGCACCTTTCCACTCCAATTAATTCACTCACTCATTATTTCATTATTATTTTCTTTATATATTTTTCCCGTAACTTGAAAAATTCGTTGCCACAGAGTTGCATTCTCTCCATATTCGTATAATGACGCACTATAATCCCAACGAAATTCAATTTAAAAGTCTCCACAAATGGAAAATTAATGAATGCAGAAAAATCTACATGAGTACGAAAAGAAATAAAAGTTGTGAAAATTAAAAAAAATGATAAATTGGATTGTTGATACGCTTACTTCTATCACAGCATAAGGATGTCTCGTATGTATAAGATATCATTGAGTGCACAGTTTTACAATTATTGTTTCTTCAATAAACGTGTTAATAGAAAAATAAAAATTACTCAAGAGATCAAAAGATTTTAATCAACTACTATACATTGATTGCTATTATCATTCAATCGTCAAGCCCCCACCACCGGCTCTTTCGCAAATGGCAATATCAAATTTAACTATTTCTGTAATTGAGTTTATTGTTAGTGTTGGAGTTACGCGGGACACTTGTAAAATTATGCATTGAAGAGACGAGACGTTGTGATGATTTTGCAATGATCTCTGAACAGACGAGCTTTACACGATAATGTCAAGGGACATTTAACCGGTGAACCCATCGTTATCGAGATAATCTCTATTTTTATACGAGTCTAGTTGTTAACTTCCACCACTTCAAGAATTCCTCATTAAAACGACGTGAATTGATGGATCCACAAGATCCCACACATGACACGTACCTCTCGGAATGAAATATCGTTGTCTCATAGACTGGATTACAACGAGAGCAATTTTTTTTTCACTACTCCCAAGGAAAAAAAATTAATTTGAGCAGTTTCCGTTGTCGTGTGACACAGTTCCTTTCAACCGTCCTTATCTCGATTACGATTGGTCTTAGGATAGAATGTCAAGAGACAATTTTCCGTGGTTGTGAAAATTTTGTCGCAAGAACTGTCCCTCGACAATTTGCAAAATCCACTGATCCCCGAGATAATTCCCCCGAATGTAAAAACTGTGCAAAAAGCCTAGTTACTTTCCCCACAAAAAGAACCCCAATTTGAGCAGTTCAATTTTCTTGTGCCACAGTTGAGCCAGTACTCGTTCTCCTCGTGATAATCTTTGGCAAAAATACGAGGCCCCCTTGGACAATTTTGCCCCTCACATCCCACACCATACAGCCCAGCTGAGTCTAATTCTATTTATTGATTTTATTACTAAAAATCTTTATGAGTAAAATAAAAAGAATTGTCTCATGCTGACAATGATCACTCGTCAATGACTATTTGGCACGATAATGTGGACCTCATTTGCAATAAAAAAGAGCGAATAATTTAGCATCTTACTCGTCATTACAATCACCTATAATTATTAAAATACGTGAAAAAAATGAAGTCATTTCATCACGCACACGTCATGACAATTGTAATATTTTTTTGTACATTATTTGTACAAATTATAGTTGAGCAGTTGTTGGGCTAACAGATATTTTATTGCTCTTCCCTCTGCAGGAGTGATCATCACTGGATCATTACTCAATCCATTAATTATAATAAATTGATAAAAAAATTCTCACGTGACATTGTCAAGGGTGAAACGTCGATTTCCGTTCTTGTCAAACGGTTGTCTCTATGTCAGCTATGGCGTATTGTCAACAAATACTGTCCTTGCCGTAATTATCCACGTACATGTCTTGAGGTGTGCCGATGCTGTATCGACCGCCCATTCTACTGCCGGTTAAACCGTTATTGTGGTGTTGATGGGGATGCTGATGGGGATGCTGATGAGTGTGATTCACCTGAAGATGATTGACATTCAACGCGACGTTCTTCTTCTTCTTGCGGGTTTTGTGACGGTATATGCAGTATTTCAGGCAGCCAGTTGCTAGAAGGAGGATGAGAAAAATACCCAGGGCACCAGCACCAACTGCTACGTAAAGAAGAGTAACTCCAAAGCGATAGGAACAGTTGTCTTCCTCCTCATCGAAGCCTGATGGACAGTGACGGACACCATCGCACCACAGAACTGAGCTTATGCATGCCTGGATCTCAGGGCATCTGAGAATAATCAATTGAAGTTCTCTAAATAATTCATCAGATCGGGCTGAGGAAAAAATTACAAAATTTGGGATCATGGTTTATCTCGTAGAGGACTAGAAAGATATCCTTCCGAATACAGAACCACTTTGTTTCTTCATTTTTCGTTAAAATCTTTTCATAAATTCATGGAACATCAAAGCTCTCACTCAGGGCTACTTTGACAATTTTTTTTTTTTCGTTAAAATCCTCCTCTACGTTTGAAGTTGAACGTCACAGCCTTCATTCAAGTTTCATTTCACCATAGATTTCTCAATATCTTGTAATGATATTATTAAAATGTTTCAAGCTCTAAATATTGAGATTGAGTTGAAACGGAAAAGAAAAATTATTTCGATATCCACTTTGTATCATCTTATTTTTTAAAATAAATATTAAAAATAATTCAAGTAAACGGTGCGTTATTTTTTTTTAACGAGAATATGTTTAATGAGGTAATTACTATTACCGGGACGATTCTGCCTCGCAGCAATTGATATTCAATGGAAGTTTGCGTGGAAAAATAAAAGAGAAGAGAAGAAAAATCGATTCGCCATTAAAATTTATTGGTAAGACTCACCTGTAAGGGCATTGTTCATGGGGTGCACCAGCAGCAACACCCCCTACCGATCCCCCCTGCAGTACACCCCTCTTGGAGATAGCAATCCAGGTAACGGCATAAGAGCCGTGCTCTCTCTGGAGAAACTCGACCACAAAGCTCCTGGCATGCTGCATCATCGCACCAATTCCACTGGCATTGGCAACACTCGAGTAATTCCACCCCCCCGAGAAAAAATCCACAGTCTTGATCTTCCTCCCAACGTGTGTTCCACTCTCCGGACAAATAACACTCCTCTCTCTCGTATTACCAGCAGAATACACAATAATGCGATTTAACGTTGTACAATCCTCGACATTGTCCTCATTAATAGTGAATCCAGTTGTCCTCAGATAGATGAAATGAATTCTTGGATCCTCGGGCTCAATGAGCCATGGCTCATTGACACATTGTGTCGATGCTACATCCTCGGAATTATCGCTGTGCGCCCGTTGAAGAACTTCTTCAATAGCTGCCACATCAATCATAACATCGTCATTCTCCAATTTGGATGACATCGGACTCCTCAATGATATTTCACCGCTGGTACCACCGAGTCTTCTCTCCTGAAAACTCGAGGGACAGCTCTGCTCACTTGCCTCGCTGCTATCCACGAACTGATACTCACCCTCGAAAAAAAAATCATCGTAATCCTGAGTGACATTCATCCTAGTGACGGTAAATTTGAGCTCAACAACACTTGATGTCAATGATGTCAGGGCTATTCCACTCTCAGTGACATTTGAGCACAAGCAATCCCGATAAAGTTTAACACCACTCCACGGATATTCAGATACAACAAGCTCAGCATATCCTTTTTTAGTTTCATCAGCAGTTCTCCTGTCGCATGCCCATCGATTCACCAGTGGATTCACGTAGGACATGCAGACTTTATCGCCGAATGAAGCCCTCGATATAGTTATCTCAATTCGTTGATTAGGTTCAGCCTCGAATCTGTAGACACAGCTGAGATTCTGAGCGCCTCCGCGTCCATAGAAAAATACACTCTTTGGTGATGTGAATTTACCAGAGATTGAGGATTTTTTGGACTGGGGTGATTGGCCTGGTGACTGGGGTGTGGGTGTGGAAGAGGCTGAGAATACTAGGTGACAGGACATTGAGTCATGAACGAATTCGTAACGAAGAACGAAGGAGATTGGGTAGAGAGCACTCCCCTGGCGAAGTATGTGTTCCAGGGTTAAATCTCTGGATGTGGATACGTAGCTTTCGGAGGGACTGCAGGGTCTCGTGTGTCTACTGCTATTCCTGAGGAGTGTGTGGTCGCACAATAGGGGAACGTCGTCCTTACAAAATTGGCCCATTAATCTTGCCTTTCGCGAGTGCTTCTTGTTCGTGTCCGATGCTCTTGTGGGATTTCCATCCCAAATTAATAATTTCGTATTGCACTCGTTTCCTGTATCAATACTTGCAGCTGGATCTGTGCTTGCTGCATAATATTTTATAAATGATATCCACACTATTTCGTTGGGTTTACCTTGAAAGTGGTAACGACACGTTGTATTTGGTGGAAGTGAGTGCTTTGGATTTTCGAGAATTCCAGATTGACTCTCGTAACTCGTTATGTGAAAGTCACAGTTGGCATTTTCTTTGACAAACGTACGGGACTTTTCGTCGACGAATAATACTTGGACCTCGAGCTCAAAACCAGGAAGAAATGACAGGGGCACTGGGTGAAATGGATTGTCGTAGGGAGATGTGTGGAATTCAAGGAGCATTGTGTTACGACTGCTTACTATGTCGGGTACAGCATCACCACCGCATAATCTTACTAGGACTCGGTCCGTTGTTGAGCCACCGTCGTAAACTGTGAGATAATCTTGAACAACGTTACACTGATCCCACACCCTAATGAGAAAGGGAAATTTCATTTTAGTTTAACATTTTCCGGCATGTTTCTGGGTTTGTTGAGGCGAGATTTCTGGCCTTTGATAATTTACATTTTATCTTCCTCAGTGATTATTATTAATGAGCTGGTGGTCGGTTATTTCTGTAACTCGTCAGGAAGTTGCATTCGACAAAACTACAATTTTGGATTTTCATCCCATCTATTTTTAACCCCTTCGTATTCAAAGTCCGTTAAATATTTACTCGAAAGAGTTCTAACTTTCAATTTGTCCTCTCAAATTTTCCCCCGAACATCTTATTTACTCGGTTTTAATTCTGCTGTTACACCAATTAAAATATTGAAATGCATTGCAATTGTCGATTAATAAAGAAAGTAGTGGGGAAATGCCAGATGGAAATAGTTGATGATTTTTATAGTGATATGGCTGATATGTATGCAAACCTGAGAATCCTCTGGCTTCTGTCATACTTGACAATCTGATCCTTGATGTGTATCTTATGGCTATTCCGCTGACTAACGGCCAGCAATGCACGATGACCAGGTGGTGCACGATTATGCTCAACTCGATAGTAGCAAGTAACATTACGTGGATAAACGCCAGGATAATTCGGTGATTGAAGACGACAAGCTCTTGTGTCACATCTGGTTAGTACTCGGTCGCAATACGTACCGTTTACCAAATCACCACGCCACGTTGCCATTGTGCTGTTTCCGTATCGTAAATGTGCTTCACTGCGCTTGAGAAATTTGTATGACAGCTTGAAGTCAAAATTGTATCCGATACCCTGTGACAGATTGAGGAAAGAGGTACATTGATCCGAGAGGAAATATCGAGCCACTACAACGCACCATTACCAGTCAGAGGATTACGAGTGTTAATTGAATTTCATCGAGTTAATGGGCACCGATGGAATGCGGGAAATTACCTGTTCAGATAATCTGGCGAGAAATAAGGTGAGATTGATGGAAGGTGTTTCACTGTAGTATACTGTGTATCCCCAAGCACTTCCGCACCACTGGCCACCAGTTGCCGGTCTTCCTCTCTCGCGAATTGTCATGAAACCATCGGGACATCCTTCACTTGTGAATGAGAGAAATCTTCCGACGGTGAATGTATCGAATGTTAGCTGGAATTCAAACGGAAAAAATTCCCTCCAAATCATTTGAAACTCAAGGAAAAACTCCATTCTTTAATTCAATCATTCCACAAAAATTGTTTTAAAAATCCGGGAACACAAGGGATTGAAATTGAAAATTCAGACCATTTTATTTTTAATTATTCATTTTCCAATGGAAATTAAATTGGGAAATTTCCATTTCAATGGTACTGCAATCCCATCAATGCGTTTGAATTTTACGTGAAATATTGACATGAATAAAGGATAACATTGCGGAAAGGGCCGCATTTATTTTAGAAATTAATATACGCAGTGATTAATCTTTCATTCAATTTTTTAAAATGGTCTCTCGTCTATCAAATAATCAAACAAATCCCCCACACATGTGTACACACGTAGATACATCCAGAAGAGTGTACACATTACAAATTAAACATTCAATTCGTTCGAAACGTGAATTTTCATGGTTTCACTGAATAAAAATGACTTGAAATAATTTTACCGATCTGATAATAAATTAAGTACCTGAACTAAATCCCCAAGATCACCTCCAGCAGCTGTGAAATTCAAGTAGCAAAGGAATGGCAGTCTGTCCTCGCGGGGACGTCTGACTTCCACCTCGTACGTCCTTCCGACGTCACCATACAATGTCCTATTGCAGGCTGCAAGAAAAGAGCGAATGAAAAAAATGTGTCATCCAGCGGAGAATTGCGAAGTATTAAAAAAAAAAATGTAATCACGTGTGCAGTATCTCGGCTCGTCAGATTTGTCGGCGCAGTCGTCCTCGCCGTCGCAAAATTTGTCTTGTGCGACACAGCGTCCGTCGTCGCACCGATACTCGGATGGACGACATCCGATTGTTGTTGATACAACAGTTGTTGATGTACCAGTAACTGCCGTTGCACCCGAGTACACTGTGAAATCCGGGTAGATCGAGTACCCAGAGGTATCTTGAAAGCTAGCAGAGGCTGAGGTACTTATGACTGATGATAATGCCGCTAGTGCGGCTGCGATCAGCAACCGCCAGTACACCAACATGCCCCCTCACCCTGATTGTTACACCAATTATGGATTACTTCAAACTAACAAATAGTACACGGAGAGAAGTACTACTGCCCCAAGAGCTTTCGAATTATCGGATATTTGCCAATAGGTTCGATACAAACACATGAGCGCGTCAAATTTTCCAGCTCGAGTGGACATTGATGTCAGGTCGTGATCTAATCTGCGATCAGGCACTGATCAGGCATGTGACACTTTTTTCGGAGATCGGGTATATATACGGTATATTTTTCGAAGCAACGGAAGCTTCAAAAATAAACCATTATGAACGGAATCTGATTTAAAATCATTTCTAGACTCCTGAATATTTCACCGGGTGTGAAAAGCTAAAAAGTCGATTAAAAAATGATATTTCGATGATCAACTTAATGAGATAGATGTTTTATCACCGTGAATGGTTTTTATTATTGTAAAGTGTCGATGAATTCAATAAAAAAAATAAATGGGCTAACCGTACGTCGAGCTGTGCTACTTGAATACGAATATGGATAATCGAAAATGGGTAAAAAATGTTCTCCACCCATTCATGGATTATTCATTCTCCAGTGAAAAGAGGCGATGAGACACGCTTCTAAAATGTATACAAATTAATTACATCGGATGATGGCAATATCGAAGCATGTCCCATGGTCACAAACTTTGAATATTTAAACCGGCAAATTAACGCTAGAATTATCGTATAGAAACGGGTTACACACTGGTGTCGACGATCGATCGTTGACCCAAATGTTTTCGTCGACACCAGAGCATTACCGAGTAGAGAGAGCTATGGAAACAACCTCTGTGTTTATCATTCAAATGAATTTTAATCATTTAAATGTCATTCACGAAACGGCCAGTGGCCAGTTGTGCAATTATAAATGGACATTCTGCCCAAGTGTACGTGGAGAGAGACTAGATCGATATACCTGGGTATCTTTAATGTGACCTGGTGCTGGGGGTGATCGGCTAATTAAAGTTTCACCGACAAATCCATTTGATCGGCCAATATTCCTCACCCAGACTCACCTTGCTTGTTTTTTTTTTTTTCACTTTTCTAGGTTTTCTTTTTATTTCTACGGTTTTCTACCTTTTGTGCTAGAGGATGAAATCTACTTTTGGGTACTACGTGGATTACGGAGAAACAAAAAACTCGGTTGTAATAATGCGGGTACCGGGTGGAAAGGGGGGTAAAACACTTTCTACTGAACAATTAATGGGGTCTCGACGCTTATCTGCTTTGTTTTTAATTAATGGGGGAGGGCTCGAGGTTTTTCACGTGCAGTTGGAATTATGATGACATTTACTCTACGGTTCACGGAAATTGGAGAAAATAATGAATTACGAATTGTTTAATACTTGCGACAAGTGAATGATGGGTAAATAATAAGTAATAATTAGTAAAGTATTTTTCATTGGACCTCCATTCGTTCTTTAATACGACGGATTTTATCACCGAGTCTTTGAAAGAATTTATAAATTCAGTGAATGATTGCGATTTTAAATTTTAAATTTTCTTTCAAATTATTTAAATTCAAGATGTTGTTGTAAATTCTTTGAGAAACTTATGACGTATTTTATTATTGATAAGGACTGGCTAGTAGAACTGAGATTAGATAGGATCGCACTAATGGTGGGTTTAGTTTAGGGCAACTAAGCTGCCCTGAGCACACGATCACTAAATACACTCACCATCAGTAAGCCCCTGTGGAAAAGACAATATTCTTTCGCGGTATAAAAATATTCAGGCATCAAGTGGATTTATACTTTAATATTACCATAATCGTTTGAAATATAACACCTAAAAAATAGGGATTTGTATTGGTATATATTATAATCAAATTGAAAAGAAAAAAAATGGTGAATTCAAAGGGAACATAAGAAAATCAATTTTTCAATTGATTCTCCATTATCAATGCATCCGTATAAATGATACAAATTGGAATAATGAACTTCATTATAACTGATGAATACTGCGATGAAATGTGTTTAAGTAATATCAGGATACAAACTAGTTCGACTAATGATTTACCAATCATTGTTAATAATGCATGATGAAATAGTGATCATGAGAGACGAATAAAATGATTCGTTGGAATAATGAAATGGTTCTGATCAAACAGAACGGAGAAAATGAATCAATTAATTTGTGAAATACGAAAATGTAAATAGCACCGGATGGAACATTTACGTTTATTGGCAGGTCCAGTTAATTCTTTTGGTGGTTAAAATACCAAAATTGAAATTCCCAAGCGGAAATATCAATAATTTAATTACCAAAGACGATTACGAACAATTGACGATAAAATAATTGTGATAGGCAAAAAGATATCAATGGATAATTTTGTTCACACGATTGAGTTGATGAGAATATCGATGGACACAGGTGGAAATGCCAATCGATTGATTATTAGAAATTGATAACGAACAATTGACAATGGGATAGTAATTTCCATTGACAAAACGAGACATCTAGGAATATGGAATTATTTGTCACCAGGTCTTTATCACTCTCGCCTGGATTGCTTCAAGCCGAACAAAAGATTTCTCCTCCAGCATCCTGGATGAGGTACAATAGCACCGGGTGGTGGTGGAGGGGGAGGGGCAAGAGGGTGTTTCCTCACTTTGGATGTGGCGAGTGGTAGAAATCGTTAGAAATGAAATATGCACGGGTTTCAGGTGATGTCAACTATGTATGCAAAATTATGTCACAGCGAGAAAGAAAATAAACACAGGGCAAAAAAATATTTATTGTTGAGAGGGAGAAGTTACGCTTGTCACGATACTCGTGTCACCCACTTGAAAATACTCCTGTATATTTAATTCATTTTTCTGCATTCTTTATCGGTACCTGCGCTACATGAAAGGACTAAAATAACAACGTATATCGATTTTTATGGAAAACAACATCGAAGAGCATTGGGAGTGGGAGACGCGCTGCATACAAATTCACTTGTTCCAATGTACGTCGGCAATGGTTGTATACAATACGTGTGCTTGACTTGAAATCCCACCATTTTTTTTACTATCACAATGAGAGGATTTTTATCTCTCGGTTTGAAACGCCAATTGTGGAATTTGTCATGGTGAAAAATTTTAGATTCTCTCCTTTGAATTCAGATTTTCGAGACTTTTGGTTAATATCTTTCCCTATTATTGTTTATTCACTCGTGGGGATAGCAAGGGTTGATTATTATTAACAAATGGATCTGCTGGGAAAGGAATAATTAGATCTCTCGTCTGCAAAAATTATTAACTATCAACGAATATTAATTTGGTTATATTCAGCTCACTGATTCGTTAATAGTTAACAAACTTTCTTGAGGATTAATGAATCACCCGTTTTGGGGAGAATAATGCAGGCTTTTATTTGAGGAGTTATTCGATTTTTAATTTATTAACTATTATGGAAGGATTCATTTTCCCGAGTAAAATCATGAAATTCGGTTGGGAGATTAATTTTATCTTCGCCCCACAACAAAATATTTTATGCGATTTTTCCCATAGTCCATTTTACCGTTAAATAATAGGATTAACGAATGTAAAATTGGAATTTAATTCAATTTTGCTTTAATCCCATTATTAGACATTCTTGTCCGTCAGTGTAGTCAACGAGTTGCTGTTATTCTAGTTCAAACAATCAATTTCCAAGAGTTTGAATGTGATAATTTCAAAAATAATAAATAATTTCTAGTCAATGGAATTTTGTTCTGGTCAATAGTTTGTGAATAATAAATTTTCAAATAATCAATTCTGTTCAATTTGACAAATTCCTTCGCGGGAATTGGAACGAGATAATTTCCTTGAAGTTAAACATTTTATGCACGAAAAAGTTGTGAAATTGTCAGCCGATTAGCGCGTGTAATGACTCTGATTATCGAATCCACGAATGCTCCAAATACCTGACATATAATTACTTCCGTTAGTGGATTGAGAAAAAAAAATCTGTAATTCTTCATCTCCAATTATTCGATTCCGTCAATTTACCATGTCAGGGAGTCGCGAAGGGTTTCCGATTGAAATTTAATAAAATAATTGAGTAAACTACTGACACTTTTGGAATCACTAGGGGGTACGTGTGAAATATTTTTACGCTTTTATATTGACCTAATTTGATTTCAAAAGAATGAATTTCAATTTTGCTGTACGCTGGAAATGCATTTCCTTCAGTTTACCACTGGGTTAATGAATTAATTGGATTACCACTTGTGAATTTCACATTGATTTATCGCTTGGCAACGTGTGGTCAGAGGTATTTATAAATCTATGGAGACTCCGAATGGAAATTATTCTAGCCGATGCCAAATTGCGAATATTTCCAATATTTCACCCCTATCCATGCGTGAACAAATAAAATTCCACAGTGAATTGGTCGATTGAGATAAATCATCAAATTTCCGGGATATTATTTTGAAAATATCTCTGGAGATGATAGGTTTATCGACAAATATCAAAACATCACTTTTATAATTTATCTAGTGGAAGAAAAAAAATATTTCTATTTTCCCTGACGGCTATCAATTCCAGATAAAATCAATCAAAAAATTAACCAGAGAAAATGTAATAATGTTATCAATGATCATTTTCAATAATTAAAATAGTATTATTATAATTACTATTTCACTATTATGGAAGCGTAAATCCACAGAAATCATTTGAATAATCTCCGCGTATTCATTCAATTCCGCAATTCCCCAAAAAAACCGCTCACAAATATCCAGTGAATTGCATTCTCTCTCATTACGCCGATAAACTGTCGAAAAAGCCGCGGATAGAAAGTGAAAAATCCGCAGTAATCCGATAAATCGCAAAAATTAATGCGGAAGAAATCTGCCAATACGATTAAAAGACAATGCCCGCTAAATCCTGAAGCATACGTAACTATTCACCTATCCCTCCCCTAAGAACTTCCAAATCTGATAATTTCTGAAAAGCTATATTTTAATGTTTAATTTTCTGGAAATTGAAGGAATGTAATATTTTCAAAGACACATTTATTATACCTCTCATCTTTTTTTATAAAAAATGTATATGAGGTACTCCGAGTGAACCCAACGAGGTTCAAAGGTGGCGAAACGAGGTGGTGAAAGTGTCTTTTTTGGTCCCACAAATTCACTGAATTTTTTCGACAAAAAAAATCGGGTCCTAGTCGGAAAAAACTCGATTTTTCTTTACTATTTTATGATGAAATCTCATAAAACGTGATGCATAAAAAATATACAGCCATGTAGATTAAATCGGCGATAAAAAAACGAAAATTTTGAGAAAAAAATTCTATATCGATTAATATTTACGGGAGTTACGCTCGTAAAAGCTGAAAAAGGCGAAAAATCGTGGTGGATTCCTGGTATCGTCAAAAAATCTAAAAAAAATTGAAGAGCCATCCAATGATCTCTACAATACGGGGAAAAATCGGTGATGCAATCGAATGAGGGTAAGGGCTTGAATCACGTCGAGTTCACTCAGAATACCTCATATGCAAAAAATATGCTCATATGCCCTTCAATTTTGAGATATTGGGTAAAAATTATTTTCCAAAAAAATGAATTTATGGAATTTTACCAATTCGTTAGTAATAACCCCATGACTTGCCTACCTGGTGCAAACCAATGGGCAGACTATGGAAACTGGTGATCTAAGAGAGCATGAAGATAGATATATTATAGAGGCTGTGTGAGATTCGACTGGGGGGTAAGTTGCTGGTGGCCCGGGCGGTTGATGCAGTATATAGGATGCAGTTGTAGGGAAACCCAATGTAGGACGGCGCCACGCCAGCAAATCCTGGATAGAGGCAGCTTGGCAGCACGAGATCTATGGACTTTGGCTAAGAACAGGAGGTAGGGGTTACTGATATGCAAGTAAAGGGACAGTAAAGGACGATGGAATCAAGGACTTAATGAGAATGGAGTGGAGGACATCAGTGAGTGTCTGGGGAGAAGAAAATGAGTCTCATCTTTCCCACTCCATTTTCCCCAACAAGTTCTACCCATTTTCACATCAAAATCATGAATATCAACATAAAATCCAATATTTACAACCCAATAATCCATCATCTGCATTTCGTCATTCGGAAGTGAAATGATAAAAGAGGATAAATTGACTTGATTGAGTGTTCGGTGATTTTTTTTGAGAAACATCTCTGAAGCTTTAAAAAAGAAATCATTAAGCGAATTTAATTGTATTGATTAAATTTCGGAGGTATTTCTGGAAAATTTGGGGGAGAGTTGAGTGAACTCGTCTCGTTTTACAATTAAACTGAAGTGTTGAAAATTGTCGTTACCATTGAGAAATCGATCGATTTCTGGTAAATCGAGTGAAGCATGGGAACGTCAAGCACGTGCATTCACCTCGCAATACTATCAGCTCAATTGCTGATGATTCAAACTCACCTACGATACCGAGTAGCAAGTTGACGCTGTAACAATTTTCGTTGCGATTACATTTAGCCCGGTTGATCGATTTCCACTGGAGGAGAAACGTTACCCCTGAGAATACTCCAAATACGCTAATAGAAATTTCGTGTCATTTCATTCCCTCTCCACCCTGTACACACAAGGCCCTCGCCACCCTATTTTCACCCCCTCAAATCTCCCAACACCAATTCATCCAGAGAGTTTTCCAAGTTGAATTGTTGAGGGAGTGAATGCATCAATCATTGTATATTCAGGAGAATCCGATCTCCAATCTGGTCCGGAGAAAAACAGGAAAAAAACTGCGATTCGCTCGATAAACTAGACGCGGTATTTTTTTTGTTCTTTAAAATAGGGTGATGGGGGGGTCAGTCAGAGGGGGTTGTACAAGTTGTAAAGACTCCTTGGCCAGTGGAATAACTCTAGCAAACCGTATCTCCTGGGGGAAGTTAATCTATAGGTTTCTATCGGCGATACATATCCTTTATCTCCAGTTACTTATCTTATTTACTGGAATACAATAGGGCTTCGGTGGAAGCCCCAATGTATTTACTACAAAGCGAGTGCTTTGTTCGATTACAAATAGCCACTGAGACCCCACCAATCTAATCTACAATGATCTACTAAATAATTGTATAAACTTACATGTCCACAATTCCGGCAAGATAGATTCTTCTGTTAATCACGAGCTGAATTTTCCCTCCTCGCTGTCCCTCAAAAAAAAAAAAAAACCTCAATTCCTGCCAGATGATCGAACAATAGAACCAGAACCTTCACAGCATCACACAACACACCGAATGCTTTTCCCGGAGTCAATTCCTCGTTTATGATTTTAAGAAAAAAAATATATATATCAACTACGATATAATAGACAGAGTAAATCAAAAGTATAAGTGGTCCCCAAATAGTACAACCCCCGAAAGAATAAATTCTGGCAGGTCAGTGACGTGTGTGACCCTCATCCCCCCCTCTGTTGATCAGTAATATGACAGGGAGACACTGAGAGGCCATTCAAGATCACCGGTGTCGTCTCCCTTCTCTCTTGTATACACGAGAGAAAGAAAAATATTTAGTTGTAAACGAAGGAAAATATAAAGGATTGTTGCTGGTGGTGTACCGGAGTACTCTCTGCAAGCTCGGCCGGGCAGCTGAGAGTGGTGTGGCCACGAGGGGGGTAAAACGGGCTGAAACAGTGGAAGTGGGGGTGTGCGGAGGGGATTTTACGTGGTGAGTGGGAGAGGAATGTGATTGTCCTTGGGGTGGGGGATGGTTATGCCAGCAAGGGGGTTGCCGTTTTCCCTGGGTTATACTTCTCCCACTCCTTTTCACTACTGCGCACCAGTAGTTGCAAAACCGAACCCCGGCCAGAACTCCTCTCTCACACCCAAACTCAAGTGATAAGGGTGGAAGGGGGAGAGGGAGGGAGTTGAACATCATGGGGGTAAAACTGGGGAGAACTGTACGTCGAGCGTTACACGCTACCCCCATGGCTCAACTACTGGGAATTCACAGCCAAAACCCAACCCCCTGCACTCTCCCACAGCACTCGAGCTCCAGCCACCCCAGCAATCCATCCCCCACTATGTGGACACTTTTGCCAGCTTGAAACTTTGTACGCCGCTAACCTCCCATCCCACCCCCTCGCATACTCTTTTCTCATTTTCTCTCTACAGTTCCTCGCAAAACCCTCTTCACGTCTTTTCCCTCTACGGTTTTCAAATCCCAACTACCCAACCACCTCAATCCACCCCCTCACAAAACCCTGGAATCCCTTTTCGTTTTACCCACCCTGTGCACGGGTCAAGCTCTGATCAGCATCGAGCAGTCACACGTACATGAGGCAGATTGTACTTCAGGGGATGTAAGGGCTCTATATGCTACGGCAGATGCCGGCATCCAATCGTAAACGCTCTGCCATGATTAAACCAAATAAAGAGCAATTTCTTGGTAATTGTTTATTTGGAATTTCGAGGGGATTTGCTGAGTTGCTCGTATTTCGGGGCTAATTGGTATGGGGACGGCGAGGGGGACTGTTTCTTGATTGATTTGAGGATCAAACGGGATACATTTTTTTTTTCCAATTTGTGCAGCGGAAAAATTATTATTTGTTTTTGTTTTTATGAACTATACGAATGGATCTTCAGATTTTTTAAATAAAAAATACACTATTTCAGAAATTAATGGGTAATTACTGTAATAGTAATGTATACAGGATAATTATTTATTTGGGGTTGGCGGGGATTAGGATTTGCTGAGCTGCAGGTTCTGAAGGGTTCTAATTGTGACGAGGGAGAAGAGGAAAACTGCAGAGCTACGGTTTTTCGTGGTGCAATGTCTTGATTGATTGAGGGGATCAGGCCGGATTTTCCTTGTACCTTCCAATTTATGAGATTTTCAACATTTTGTTGGATACTGAATTATCTGAATAACAAGTGGTTTCAGACTACAGTCTCAGCATAAATTTTTAATGGTAAACTCTAGCTGGAATATCTATAAAAATAAATGGTTTCCAGATATTAGAATAGTACTTGTAATTGTGTGTAATAGGTATGATATTTTTTAACGACGCGCTTGACTGATTCAGAGAATGCAGAATTTATTTTCTCCCTGTTTGTTACTTGTCCCTCAATTTTGTAATGAATTTCTTGAGAAATAATACCGGATTATGGATTTTTTTGATGACTTTTTTTTTCTTATTTTGCCTGGTTATTAAGTGTATCTGATGGAGACTAGAGCCGTCTGACTATTATCGCGGTGTTCCACTTGAGGCTCGAACGGCTCCTAAACAGCCAGGCGCCGAGATACTATCAGCTTATCCCCCCATTGTTTGCCTTGTACTTATTCCTCACGAATGAATAAAAAGAGCGAGCAGAAATTTCATTATTTTTTATTTTCAACTTTTATATTTTGTAGGTGGAAATGTTTTTCATGATTGATGAAGAAATTATTGATTCTCTGGTTTTTTTTGTTAATTTGTTATTTAACATCGATGTCTCGGGCTCCTTGGAAAGCAGCAACCAGGGAATTTAGCTGGACGGATTCACATGTGCCAGCTACTGTGTATTTTTCGATTGCTGCCAACTTTATCACCAGGTCGATCATGATGTCATCGGGAAATTCAACTGGGACAAATTATTATTCCATTAGAGTGAGCCAGGTTTTTTATTATTTGACATGACTTACTTCGATTCAGAAACAGGTGGAGCTCGGTGAGAATATCCTGAAGGGCGAGACCTTTTCTTATCTTGAGATCTTGAATTTCTACATTTTGTTGTTGAGGAATTTATCATCGAGGGGATCGAAGAAGTGAGTTATTATTCCATGGTCAATTCGTCGAGTGATTAATTCATTAAAAAGGATACTGTTGTAAGCTGACATGTAAGACTCGTTAAGCAGCCAATTTGCAATATTTTTTATGTCGATGGGGAGGGGGTGGCCCACACAATTATACACGTTCTCCTCGGTCACTGACCCATAAGCTAGCCAGGTACTCTGGAGAACGTTTAAGACTTTTCGCATGTCACCGCCACTGAGGGTCATCAAAGCCTGCTTTCCATCCTCACTTACTGTTAATCTAAAATTCCAAGGAATGAGTTTTGCAATTTTACCATTGAGATAAGTAATTTCTCTTACTTTTCTTCTTGAATCACGTGTTCAAGCCTCGGCATTATTTGATCAGACGACAGTGGACCGAATCTGAACTTTGTGCATCTTGATTGAAGTGCCGGAATTATTTTACTCAGATAGTTACAAATTATACAAAACCTCACATTATCTGTGTATTTTTCCATAACTGAAAAAATAAGAGAATCATTATTGATATTTAATTGTGGAATTGGGTGAATAAAATTTTGGAGAATGGGATTATTATAATTATTTGCAGTTGATGTTCAACAAATAATTTACTTCTCCTGAGGGCATTCTGAGCATCATTTGTCATGGCGTCAGCCTCATCCAGGATAATTAACTTGAATCCTGATCTGTACATTGTGCCAGTGCTGGCAAAACTCAGAATTTGACCTCTAACGATACCAATTCCTCTGTCATCTGAGGCATTCAACTCCAATACCTGAGGATACCAATAAAATCACAGAATCTGTAAGAAATGGATTATAAAAAAAAATATCGAACCATGGATTGAAACTGGGCCGGGGTATAAAGTTTCTTGGCACAAGCGAGAATCGTACTGGTTTTCCCTGTACCTGGGGGACCATACAGCAGCAGATGTGGCAGCTGATCCTCATCGATGAATTTATTAACTAAAATAAAAAATAAAAGGTATAAAGATTCGTCTGATTCCATGAACGACCATTGGACTGTCTCCTTACTGGTTTTTATAATATCTTCATGTGATATCAGATCATTGAGAGTAGCTGGCCGGTATTTCTCCACCCTTCAACAAGAATAAACAATTATCCTAACCACAAAATTATCTATGTGAAAAATGGGGACAATACTCACCAAGGTAAATTCGATCGTTTATCGGACATTATTGATGACACTTATCACTCACGAAGTGCCCCGAATATTGAGGTAATTCCCCTCTTTTTTCAACAATCAAGAGGCTTGCAGTATCGAAACAGTCGGAATCCACCGAATGATATGAAACGAACAAACTAATAATTTACCGCCATAAAACCAATTCCAGAAGGTGCAGATGGATTTTTTTCCTCTGGTGCCCATCGTTGTAACTGAATCCTAACCTCTCGCAATGTTTTGATTTTTTGGAGTGAAATACGTACGAGTAAGGATAAAAATTCACGAAATAAGTGACAAAAATCTTGGAGTAATAAATAATCGTGAGAAGTGAGAAGAATAAATGAAGAATTAATCATGTCAATGAGATTATTAGCAAGAAGAGCTCAAAGACTTTTGAAAAATCGTCAAGATGTGGTTCAACCTTTCAAATACCTTCTTGTTCTCGACTTTGAGGCCACTTGTGAGAAAGACATCCCTATAGAAACCCCAGAAATAATAGAATTTCCGTGTGTAGCCCTGAACACTCAAAGTTGGGAGATCGAGGAAATCTTTCACAGATACATAAAGCCCCGCGTTAAGCCCATCCTCACCCCTTTCTGCACAGAATTAACTGGAATAATGCAGGAGACTGTTGATGATGAGGAACACTTTCCTCAGGTTTTTAAAGACTTCTCCAGTTGGATGCAGAGAAATAACTTCGATAAAGACAAGTGCGCATTTGTCACCTGTGGTGATTGGGACCTGAAGGTGATGTTGCCGGGTCAGTGTGCCATTGATGGACTCAAGGTGCCTGAATACCTGAACAAGTGGATTAATTTGAAGAGGAGCTACTGTGAAGCCACCCAGATCTATCCCAAAAGTCTCAATGACATGATCAGGAGGCTGAAGCTACAACCCCAAGGGAGAGCTCACTCTGGACTACATGATTCTATCAATATGGTCCAAGTTATAGAGACATTAGCTAAAAATCATAAAGCGAAATTCGATTTGACGTCTGTAAGATAATTCGGGCCTTATGTGTGTTTTTGACAATAAAGGTTTTATAGAGATCATTTATTAATTATTTTTCCTTGCGAATATAAAGGATGTTTAATTCGATTCAATTCATTTACATAGAATACATAGAAAAATTCATAAAACGTGCGGGATACGTGTCCCAATGTAAAGCCAACTAATCTGCAGGAGACATTTGACACACTTTTGGATAACAAAAAAAATCTCGAGTTTTTATCCCTTTTATTCCGTTGCTCATTCGCCCATTGCAATTCTGACAGCCGCCGAAAAAAATTTTTAGTTATTCACTTCAGCTAATTACGAACTAAAGTGTTTTCGACATGTGTCACCGGTGCATCGCCCGGGGTTTAAACAACTGCCGGGTGTACTCTTTTAGACATACAATATAAAAAAAATTATGAGACAAAGAAATAATAACAGAGTTTCAAAGTTTCTTTTTGCTTGATAATTCTCTGCGTTGCCCAAAGGCGGAGAATCGAAAAAAAAACAGTTTCCAGCAAATTTATTAATATTCAATAAATGAAATCAATTAAATAATCATAGATGGATTCATTGTGATTACCATGTCGCATTTTTAAAAGTGGATGATTTACTTCACTGAGCTTTAACAAATCTGCAATACTACAGTTAAATTCAATTTGATCGAATTTTCTGAAATAAAAAAATTGTCTTTGAGACGTATAAATGCATATGTTGCCTACAATTAAATATAAATCTCATAAAGGCTCCAGAAATATTTTCCACCCTCTTCCATTTTAAATATTAATTCAATATCTCTTAGGCACAACGTGAATTTTTACATCTTTTCTCTCATTGCTCGTAAAAATTTGTAAAACCGCTTGGAACCCTTTATCAACATTCTTTTTACACTGAACTTTAATCAAGAACCCCCTTTTGGCTGGAATCATTCCTCCAGAAGGCACAACACTCAAGAACTCTGTGTTCGTCAATTTTGCTTCAAAAGGCTGGGCAGTGCTGGATGCACTGGTGATCATGACAGTGGCATCCTTAGATCCAGGAGGATTGAGTGTCACAGAAGCTGGAGTGACACTAAACTCCTCATCCAGTTCTCTCTGTCGTCCAGCCACCAGAGTCCTCTCCAAAAGACTTTCAGATGGTATGTAACTGTCCTCATCATGAACAGAGACAACACTAGTGTCACTGCAGAGAGATTGAAACATCTGGGACTCGTCTGCATCATCAGTGAATATCGGAACGGTTTCATCGAAATTCAAATCCATCATGAGGGTTACCACCTGACGATGGACGCTGCGACAGAGGATCCCCAGGTCCTGGACAGCATCCCTGATGATCGACAGCTGAGGCATCTGTTCCTCCCCAGGAAAAATCCTGCAGATGGGATCCACCACGTTCCGGAAAACGTCAGTTTGTTTGTCGTTAACCTGCCCAGTCTCGATAGACTTTTTATAGAGTCTTCTGATTCTCCAACGAGTTGGCTCGTCGCCATGGGTGATGGTCAATATCCCCATCTCTGCCACGTCACCCCTCAACAGAGCAATATCCTCCTTCCTTGGTTTAAAGTCGATTGTGATCCACTGGGACTGTTTAGGCCCCAGGATGATCTCAGTGGGCTCGACATGCCAGCTAGTTGCAACAGTAGGATAAACTGCCTTTGGAGAGAGTTTTATTTTGGCATAAGCTGGCAAATCTCCTGAGTTCTCCAACTGTACTGTAGTCGTCAGAGTTCCAGCGGAATTCAACTGCCCCAAAGACAGCCACATCTGCGCCCCCATAATCTTCATCGCCTGATTAATATTCACCTTGGCATACCCTCCACATCCATACAGCATAATCACCCTGGAGGGCCTTATTTCCCTTTCCTTAATCCCACTAACATTTCCAGGACTCTTCTTGATTTTATTCTCGTAATGGACAAATGTTATTTTCCCCGCTGACGCACCCGTTCTCAGCGGAGAGTAAATAATTGAAAGTGTTCTGCTCTCCATTTTCTGGAGACCCACCAGGATACTCGTACTGGACTCTCTCTCCTTTAAAAATTTGAAGCTCTTGTCATTGTCAGTTATCGTTGCCTGGAGTTTTATCTTATTGTTACTAGTATTTCTAATTGTAAATTCCTTGATTTCATGTTTTCCCACCTTCACCGTTGTCCAGGATAATGAAGAGTAGGTGGACTGAATAGGTATTGTGTCACCTGCTACTGTTCCACCTGATGATAGACTCCGAGGAGATGACCTTCCTGCACTTGTGGAGGTTCTTGCACTTGTGGTGGAGGTCGTACTGTGCGGGGACGATGGCAGACTTGTCATTAATTGCTGTTGAGGAGTGTCACATCGAGAGTAAACAGTTGTTATTTCCACTGGGGTATCCTTCTCGACGTTGTTGGGCATTTCTTCGACGATGAGAGGAATTTCAGCGAGTATCGAGCCAGTCTTTATCTCGTTGTGCACTCGAATGAGTAGTTTTGGTTGTTCGTTAGAATTCTTCAAGGTCTGCTTCATGTTTTCTTGATTATATTGAATCTTAAGTGTACATTTATCGTTAGCTTTGAGTATTAAATGAGTAACTGGTTTATTATCATCAACTAGATCATTAGAAGTCATGGATATCTTCATATTGAATACGTCCCATTTATTATTTGATATGGCAAGCTCTAAGGGGACGTCAGTGTCATATTTATTCTCCAGAACCACAGGCAATTCTGTTACTTCCTTATTCAAACTAAAGTTGAGAGTATTTTGATGTCCCTCTGGATAGATTACGTCAATCTGAGCGTCAGAAGGTATGAAACACATTAGATGATTTTTCGTGGAGGACTCCCTGGTGGTCATGTCACTGCAGTTGATGCTCAGGGCGGCTAACACCGGTCCCCCCATCTTTAAGAGCTTCACCACAATCTTGAAAATTTTGCTTTGGCCTGGCTTGATCAGGACCGTGTAGTCTGGAATTTCCAGGTGAATGTTCTCCTTGTCGCCCTGAATTTGAAGAAGATGAAGGGAGCAAACCAGCCAACGATTACTCTCGTTAGTCATTTCGATGTCAGCCTCCCTGGCAACTCCTAAAATGCACTTGTAGAGTCCTTCTGCATTTTTGCCAATGGTCAGCCTCTCAGCTGGATTCTTAAGAATCGCACTGTCGAGTTTTTCCAGTGAAATTTTGTCTGGCGAGTCTTTACCACCATTAACGATCCCCGATGTGTTTGTCAGAGTTAAACTATTGAGTTTCGGTGAGGAAATTTGCCCGGACGTATTAATTTCTTTTTTGATTGAACGATCCGATTTGATATATGATATTGGTGAGTTCTTGACATTCTCAGAGGCACCAGGACTTGAATACTCTGGGGGAATCTGTTGGTTGATTAATTGCTTTAAAGATTCCTTACTACAAAATGGAGACGGCGGTGTGAGGATCATTGCTGGGTCTGGAGTGCTGTCCACTTTTGGAATCCCTGGGGACTGTATCTCAGCATTCTGAATGAACTTATCAGGGGATTTGTGATCCTGCTCGAAAGAGTTTGACAGCGGTAGACTCCAGGTTGAGGCACTTGGGTTGTTTGTTGAAACGTTAGAATTCAATGTCTTGCTGTCTAGTGACAATTTCCTCGAGGACTGGGGAGTCTCCAGGTTAAAGGCAGGGAGAGAGCACCTTGCTGACTGCAGAGTGTAAGTTCCGCTAGTACAGTTGCCATTCTCGAGGGGTTTTCTTTCCTTCTGCTCCTTCTCTTTTTTTTTAACCCTGAGAAGTTGGTCTACAAGACGACGAGGGGTTTCGTCATTTGAGTCCAGGGCCTTCGCTATTCCACTGAGACTGATCAGAGGCTCCTCGTCGTCTTCATCTCGAGTGTCGTCGATGCAGGAAGCTGTGCACGTGGTGTAGAATTTTTCTACTGGGTTGTCGTTCGTCTGCGATTGGGGCTCTGACGATTTCGATGAATCCGTCATCGTTGTAAGGTTGACCAGAGCTCCAGGTTTCGTCAGTCTCTTGGGGCTCCTGATGTTGAACCCAAACGCAGGTCGATCGAATCCTTCGGTGGCTGAGAGCTGACCTATTGGCTCGCACTTTCGTCCGAAGAACTCACCAACGGAGACTCTACGACCTACACAGGACTCCAGGGAAAGATCCATGTCCCCAATAATTCCAGAGAAGCAAGAGAAGTTCAGTCGCTCCCTCTCAGTGGAACGAATTGGCTCCAGGTTTTGATTCCAGGATGACTCGTCAGCTGACAATTGAGAGTTCAATTTAGAACCCGAGAGGAAATCTTCATTAGCGAATTTCGCCATTAGTTCTGCAGCTGTGCTATTGAAGCTGAAGCCATCGTTTTTAAATTGAGAGGGAGAGGTGTTTGGGCTTCGGGATTTTTCTGAGGATCGGCCTGTAATTTCAGTGGGTTCGAAGACCACGCTGGTGATGCTGGACTTGGGGACACTCGAGGAGAGCAGGGTATGGTCCCTCTGCGGGGAAAAGGGATCCAGGGAATTGGTGAGAGTGGAAGGAGTGTTGTCAGATAAATTCGGACTGTTTAGGTTGTTCTCCTTGTTGGGGTCCAGGGTGGTATTTGTGAATCTGTTATTTACCTTCTGAATGAGCTCTCGAGCAAGTTTTCTTTCGGTCTCGTGTCGATTTAGTGGGGGTGTTGAACACTCCTCATCGATTATAGAACGACTGGATATGTCATTCACGAGACCGAGAGAACTCTCCGTGTTGTTGGAGGTTGAGTCATCCCCTGGAGAGTCTCGGAATCTTAGAGAGGAGTCCAAGGGGTATGACCCAAAGCTGCGAAAATTGGAGACATGTTCGAGAAACGAAATCGAAAAAAACTCAACGACCAAGTCGTGAATTTATTCAATACTCACGTTCTACGTTCAACAGTGGAAGTTGCCTGTGGTTTCGGTGTTGACAATATCGTCATATTTATAAAGCTCTCTTGATTATTATCACCTGAAGTCCTTGGACTTCTGCATGAATCCTTCTCGAATTCCATTTTGATACAATTCTCCATACACGTGTCCTCATCAAGACTCGAACGAATTACTCTCACTAATTGAATGAATAATCGTTAAATAATTTTCCAAGCGGTTATTTCCACTTTTTACATACGTCGATCATAAACACACGTTAAGGGCCTCAAAGAACAGGTAGAACTGACACTTTGGCAGTTGAAACGGTTGATTGACGCCACCGAAACAATTCAAATTTGAAAACGTAGTGTCACCAGATCCAAACATTCGTTATCACCGGAGACTGATAATAGAGGGAAGGGATTGAGCGAGTGCAACGGATAAAACGAGTTAAAAATCAAAAGTCAGAAATGAGAGTGGGGAGAATTGGCCAGAGATAATATTGGGGAGATCTTCAAGGCCTATGGAGGCTTCATAATTATCATGCAGCGGTGGCGCATGCACTATTTGGAAAACACTTGTCGGTAATGCCGATAGTAAAAATGTCGGTATCGCGTGTATTAAATTTGAATATTCAGATTTATTGTCCTTTATAATAGCCAATCGTAGATTAATTGAGATCGTGGCGATGAACGAAGATGCATGTAAAAAAGAAATTATAATTAATAAAATTAATATTATTATTATTATTATATGACTACTATAATGATAATATAATATATAATCATGATAAAATAATTTATTATTTGTTAACTCTACGATGCATGGAAAAACAGTGAAGCTTCGATAAACATTTTTCTATGTTCTATTTCGTAAAGCCTTTACGTAATCCACCAGTGATCGATTCAATTGCTTTTCCCGTGGTCTCAGGGACAAAGAAATAGATAAAGAAGAATAAACATATACTAAGCAAGACGTTAATCAAAGCCGCAATGAGTGCTGACATGACCACAACAGTCATTATGCCAGCCATAAAAAATAGGACGATCCATGAGACAGCTATCGACAACATAAATCCCAATGATAAAACTTCTCGTTGAAATACTTCAACAGCAATGATCGATGGGAAAGTGCCCATACCAAAATAATAAGCAACTATGGATGAAATTGCCAACGGCAAAAGGATCCATGAAGGAATGTAAGAGTCATGACGGATCAACGCGATCACAATATAAACACAAAAGTAGGATGACATTACAACGCATGAAATAAGTAAAAGTATTTTTTGTCGAAAGCAATACAGTAGAATTGACGGTATGACAGCTGCTATAATTTGGATGACTAGAAATATTGTCACAGGGGCACCTCGAAGTGTCCCCTGTGCGATTGCTCCACTCATGTGTCCCCGAATATGCAACTGGAAAGTTAATAACATTTATTGTCAGAAATGTGATTAATGTCAGGGTCAAAATGAAAAATGTAATTTTCCTAAAATTGAGACTTGCCACAGTTGCCACCTGCCACAGTGACTGTGCAGTGAATAAACCACAAGTTATGATAAAACCCCGACGTTTTCCGAGATCCAAGAAAAAATTCTGGAAAAAATATGATCCTGTAGTCATTGATGGCACCGTCTGCTGGATTGTAAATAATTCATGATGAACACATTGATGATCGTTATCTCTCAGCCACATTAAACACCTATGGATTAAAAATTGTCACTCGTTAATTCATTGAATATTTCAACGAAAAAATCGATTACTTTAGGATTTCAGTACTGAATTTAATTTTGAAAATAAATACTTAGTAGCTTCATCGATCCCAGCTATTCTGTACAAATAGATCGGCGATTCGGGCATGAATACGAATCCCAATCCTAGAAGTAAAGGAAGGAACATGATGATGAATGCCGAGTCTCGGTATACCCGGTGATCAGTTATCAAGTAGCCGGCTGAAAATCCAATAGTTGTGAAAATCATGCGAATGGTACCCAGTCCTGATCTCAAACTGTTACTGGATATTTCAGAGACATAAATTGGTACTGTGTGTAGGCAAAGGGTGCTTCCAATTCCTCCGAGAATAAAAGCGAGCAGAAGGAGCAGGCTGTTCTCTCCAAAGGATATCAGCATGCAGCAGAAGGTGAGAGGAATTGCTGATAAACAGAGAGAGACTTTTCTGCCGTAACATTCACAGCAAAAATGGGCAATTGGAAATCCAACGATAATTGCCAAAGGGGTTATGACTAGGAACCACTGGCTGGTGTGAGGTCTCATTAATGCTCCGAGGTGATCGTAAGTGCTAACCAACAGGATCATCACCAAGGTCACCGTGAGAGTGTACATACTCGCTGAAATTTCAATTATCTTAAATCACAGTGAATTCGATATATAATATATTGAGAATTTGAAATAATAACTTGAATAAAAATTTCGAAAATGCTGACTTACCCAGGATAGCTGCAAGCAATTGCCGCGACTTCCCAGCTGATTTATTCCCATTAAATTCCTCTTCAATTTCCATTTTCGTAATGATATTAACAATATTAATTATAGTAATCACTTTCAGGTATTCCAAAGTCTCACGATAATCCGTTGGCACTCTTGCACTTGATATTTAATTTCACGTAAACCGAATTTCATCTGAGTTTAATAATTTCAACCAAAATTGTTTGTAAATTGCATTCTTTTCGAACAGCGACCACTTACCGCAGTGATTCGTTTCTGTTTGAATTATAAACATTTCATGAGGAAAAATCTCGATGGAATTGTGAGAAATGAGAACCGGGAAATCATTCCCGGTTTTCCTCATGACGCCCATATATTACATTCGTGCGCGATTCAACGTAGTTTTTTCTAAAATGCGATTAAGGAAAATATTCGTGAATTATTTTAATTAAGCAAGAACAAAGGAGAATATTATTGCGCCCAGAATTCCATCTAGCGAAGAGGTTAGAATTTTGTGATTTTCGGCACCAATGCATCAATTGATTTTATTCAGCGAGATTGATTCTTCCCATTTATTCAATGCGACCGAAATTTCATCTGAAAGTGGAATTATTGCCGAGTTTTTCTTGCTCTCTTCCTTTTCCTTCCTGTCGTATAGCCACCGTAGATCATTCCCTGTGTAGTCGGTGTAGAGACGATTCGCATCGATAAATTTTCAGATGGCTGAAGGTCATTAACTCTCGCCGATCATGGCCAGAGATCGTCAGTAAATCGTGTCGAGAATGTAAGATATAAGCGAAATTGAGTTTCCTTGGAGAAATTGATATTTGAGTTTTCGTATTAGTATTGTCTGAAGGTTCTCCTTCGCTGTCGGGCACCGCTCTCTTCTCTCGGTGCTGCTGAAGTCTATTTTGTCTTTAGATTACTGGAACTGTTTTGCTCTTCTCAGGACTACTAGACTACTAGACTCTGCTCTCCTCTCCTCTCCTGTCCTCTCCTCGATGTTACCGCTGCAGCTCCGCTCCGTAGAATGAATTTTCACAAGCGGTTCACTCAGTGTATATCAACTCGCACGGACCGTGACGACAGACCCCTGGAGGAATTAGCTTTCTCTAATAATCAGTTGAAACCGTTGAAACGTGAAAACCTGTGAGTGACTAGTCGGCGCATGTTTGATATGAGGCTGTTTTTAATCCCCCACCATGAATTTTGGGCCAATCGTGGTGTCACAACTGTCTATATAGGGGACTCGAGAACTGAAAAAATTTTATTATTCAGAACGCGACGGACCGGAGAAGACCAGGAGAAGAAGCGGAGGAGTGGAGGAATGGAGGAAAATAGCTTCGTGGTTTTACACAGCCAAAATTCTCCAGTACAGATTGACACTTCAGTTTTTCCCTCAAAATTGGGAAAGAGATTCCAGTTTCTCAATTAGCAGACCGCCACGATGGCCTTCTGGATGGAGTGTTCCATGCAAATTTATTAAATTGTTTCTTCAATTTTCCATGAGTGATTTTTTCACTCAGATTGTTTCGCATCTGCTTGACAATTCTCGACACCGTTTGTACCGACAATCGTGTGTCGCCCTCTCTTTCATGGCATCGGTACTCATATCCCAGATTACTCCTCGTATTCTTCGATCGGGGCTTCTAGTTATTACATTTTCAGTTTATACTCATCGGAACTGAGTCTGTTCAATTCTCACTGATAAAAACATAAATTATTGAAATACCTATTTTCCAAGTATTCCCTGACGGAGCGAAATAACAACCGAGAATGGAAAAAGTGCCGGAAAGATTATCAATCCATTAGGATTATCCACCACGTGTCAATGCAAACATTGAATTTTCTCGATTTGCCACGTATTAATGTAAATTCTCAAAGCACAAGATACTGACGAGACAAAAAAAAGAAGGAGCAACCGGTGGAGTACATAGTATTGTCTTGATTCTGCCGTGACTCCGTGCCATTTATCCATCGAAATTATAGCCATGACGGAGAGCAAGAAACCCGTGGACGACCTAGTGCAATCTGTTTCCCTTCATAACCCCAGAGGATTGATATTCCGCGGTTATGTTTTACCTTTCCTAACACTCGAAACCATATGGATTTACTCGTGGCTATTTGTTTATGGGGTGGAGGATTACTTCCACGAGGGTCTCGTTGGCATTGCTGCAATCGGAGTTCTACAGATATTTTTGTGCTTGTGCTGTCAGTGGTCCGTTCACATCTACTGTTTTCTCAATTGCAGTTCGACGAAGGACCCCTACAAAGCGACAGTAGTAAAAGTGATCCCCACCTCGAACAATGGCAGTTCAGAGATTGTTCGTCTCCACCAGAAGCCGAATAAAGAGCCCTGGTTCATCTTCCAGAAAACAAAATTCTGCTGGTCGAAAAGTAAAAAGCGTTTCGAGGGACTTCAGTATCCAGTGACTGAATATTTAAAAACTTACATAGACAGTAAAGGGTATGCCAGCGAGGAAGAGGTCACAGAAGCTGAAGAGACGTATGGAAAAAATCACTTGGACATGGTTATCCCGGAGGCATGGGAGCTCTTCAAAGAGCGAGCAACTGCCCCATTCTTCGTATTCCAAGTATTTAGCGTATCCTTGTGGTGCTTCGATGCGTACTGGTACTACAGCATCTTCACTCTGTTCATGTTAATAATGTTCGAGTACATGTTGGTTCGCCAGCAGATGCGAAACATGGCAGAAATTCGTAAAATGGGTACAAAACCGTACATGATGAACGTCTACAGGAACAGAAGATGGAGAATGATGTTTATAGATCAATTGGTGCCTGGAGACATTGTCTCACTGGTGAGGGCTCAGAGCGATCAACTGGTGCCTTGTGATATTTTATTGCTCCGAGGTCAATGCGTCGTAGACGAGAGTATGCTGACAGGTGAATCAGTCCCCCAGATGAAGGAGCCTTTGGAGGAGATAGATCTCAATCAGAATCTCAACATCGACAGGGAGCACAAGGTTCACGTTCTCTTTGGTGGAACAAAAATCGTCCAGCACACACCCCTCAGTAAAACCACGTCAGGCCTCAATCCCACTGACAAGGGCTGTGTTGGCTACGTCCTCAGAACAGGATTCTCCACCTCCCAGGGAAAACTCCTCAGGACAATACTCTTCGGTGTGAATAGAGTCACAGCTAATAATCTTGAGACCTTTGGTTTCATTCTCTTTCTTCTGATTTTTGCGATAGCAGCTGCTGCCTACGTCTGGATAAATGGCACTGCAGATCCAGAACGAAGTCGATACAAATTGTTCCTGGAGTGCTGTCTCATTCTGACGTCTGTGGTACCCCCTGAACTGCCTATTGAGCTGTCTCTCGCTGTCAATACGTCCTTAATGGCACTGTCAAAGCTCGGTGTGTACTGCACAGAGCCTTTTAGAATACCCTTTGCTGGGAAAGTTGACTTCTGTTGTTTCGACAAGACTGGAACACTCACTAGTGATAATCTCGTCGTCGAGGGGATTACTGGAATCGACGGGGATACTCGAATGATTCAAGCAGAGGAGGCTCCCATCGAGAGTATCCAAGTGCTCGCCACATGTCACTCGTTGGTGCAGCTGGATGGGGGAATTGTGGGGGATCCTCTTGAAAAAGCCACTCTCAAAGCTGTCAAGTGGAGTCTAACCAAAAACGAGGCTGTGGTACCTAACAAGGGGAAGGCCAGGGCCCTGAAAATCTTTCACAGATTTCACTTCTCCTCAAGCCTCAAGAGAATGTCTGTTATCGTTGGAAATACTCTACCAAATTCAACTGAAGTCCAGTACATGGTAACTGTCAAGGGGGCACCAGAGACTCTAAAAAACATGTTCTCATCTATTCCTGATAACTATGAGGCCAATTACTTGCGCCTGTCGAGAAGGGGAGCCAGGGTTTTGGCTTTGGGATACAAGAGGCTTCCCTCTTCTTTGAGCTCACAAGATCTCAGGGCTTTATCCAGAGAGGAACTTGAAAGAGATCTGCTGTTCGTTGGATTTGTAATTATCAGTTGTCCACTGAAACTAGACTCTTCAGCTGTCATCAAGGAGATCATTAATGCTTCACATGTGGTTGTAATGATCAGTGGGGATAATCCTCTCACTGCTTGTCATGTCAGCAGAGAACTCCATTTCACTAAGAAACCGACAACGTTGATACTGACACAGGAGGGAGAGAAATGGCACTGGGCGAGTGTTGATGGCAAGACAACTCTTGCCCTTGAGATCGGCAACATCGAGCCCAAGGGAAAAGAGATCTGGAAGAATTACGCACTCTGTGTCACCGGAGATGGGCTCGAGTACTTGAGAGAGAATAATCCACTTCTCCTCAGGAAACTTTTACCCCATATCGTTATCTACGCCAGGTGTGAACCCAAGCAGAAGGAATTTATTGTTATTTCTTTGCAAGAGCTGGGATTCACTACTCTCATGTGTGGAGATGGAACCAATGATGTTGGAGCGTTGAAACATGCACAGGTTGGGGTAGCTATTCTCTCAAGTCCTCCGGAGAGGATTAAGGAGGAAAAACTCAATCCTGTATCAGTTAATGCATCCCCCAATAATGGACCTAGACAGCCGATGAATAGACAGCAAGCGACTAATATGAAAATTCGGAAACTCCTGCAGGAGATTGAGGAGCAGGAGCAGGCTACTATTGTGAAACTCGGTGATGCCTCTATTGCTGCACCGTTTACTAGCAAAATGTCGTCCATTATGTGCATCTGTCATATAATTAAACAAGGGAGGTGCACTTTGGTGACAACCCTCCAAATGTTTAAGATCTTGGCGTTGAATGCCCTGGTACTGGCCTACAGTCAATCAGTTTTGTATTTATCAGGAATTAAATTCAGTGATTATCAGGCAACTATGCAGAGTATGTTACTGGCATTCTGCTTTTTATTTATCTCACGTTCTAAACCTTTGAAGACGTTGTCTAAACAGAGACCACTGCCAAATATATTTAATTTGTACACGATCCTCACGGTGTTACTACAATTCGCGGTACACTTCTTCTGTTTGATTTATTTGGTCAGGGAGGCAACTATTTATTCGCCACCGTAAGTGGATATTATTTATATTGGAAATTATTTTGAAAAACACGAATGATTCTGATGAATTGATGGTATTTTTCAGGGAGGAAAAGCTGAGGAGTATTCTCTCAACTGAAAATATAACAGATACCAAATCTAGTGATTTGGATGATGATGAGAATTTTGAAGCCAATGTCGTCAATAGTGTTGTTTATGTTATTTCACTGGCACTTCAAACTTGCAATTTCGCTGTAAACTATAGGGTAGGTTTTAAAGTGCTTACAGATGTGATTTCTTTTTCATCTTATCTTTACCGTTAGCACTTGATTATTTAAAAATAAAAATGTCTTTGTTCACAGGGCGTCCCATTCATGGAAAGTCTCACGGAGAACAAGGCTCTGTTCTATTCACTTCTAGTTAGTTTTGGTCTCGTTATAGGATTGGCCTGTGGCCTCATCGAACCTATAGCAGCTCAACTTAAAATTGTCGATTTCCCTCCCGAGGTGAGACGATAAAAAATTTAATTTATCCGTTAATAGAAAAATAAATTATCCATTTGGTGATTTTATTTGCAATGAGCGAAAAAAATTAGTTGATGAGTTTTGTTAACAACCAGTTGAATCATTAACAATGATTAAAAATAATGTGTGGACTGTTTAATTGATGGATTTTTTTTTTAATTTCAGTTTCGTAGTACACTAATTATGGTACTAGTCGGAAACTTTGTGGCAGCCTTTGCCGTTGACAGAGCGTGTCGATGGTTGTTTGGTGAGGGTAAATTGCAGAAACTGTGATGAAATGTAAACCCCTGACGTCTATTGAAGACGTTTTGAGATCCAAGTGCATACGTACACAGATCCATGGGTAGATATTTTTGAATGGAAGGTGCCATTCTATACTCTGATAAATACAGTGGACATCTCAACACCGAAGGGGTAAAGTGAGATATTCGATGAAAAAAAATATCGATTGTTTTTAAAATAAACTGATGATTACGAAAATTTAATAAAGAATAATTACGACAAATAGTAAATGAATTCGTCTCACTTTACCACTTCACTGAATTACAAGTGGTTGTAAGATTTGTTTATGAGAATTTTGCCTGGGAATCAGTGAAGGCAGTGGCATTGAGAATAATCATTCTAATTCTTCAGAATAATTGATGAATATGATCTTCATGAAGGTGAACAATTTACAAACAACTCCAGAACTTCAGTTCTAAGAAAATTAATACATTTGTCAACTCACTTGTGGGACGAACTTAAGTTTTAATTATGTGTAAATTAATTCGTATCAACATCAGGAAATTCCCCGAGTGAGAATAATTGATATCAAAATGAATGAAAAGTGGATTAAATCCGTGAGGGATTAAACTGCCACTGTTGAAGGCTGGTAAAAACCCCAGGCAAAACAACTACACAACTATATTAGGAAATAGGAGTGTTACTGTGTAACACGTTATTTACCCTCACCCGAAGCTACTCGAGAACCAAAACAAACAATTGTATTTATTTCCTGTGAAATTCGAGGTGACAGAGTCGTTTCTCACCGTAAATTCTAAACATTCCAATTAATTATACGAGTAATCGATGGATTTGAATTCAATAACGAAGAGGTAAAGGGTAAACAGTCGCCAGATTTTCTAAAAAAAAATCGCATGTCTCTTAAATTTAGAGATAATTGTTGGAAACTCCTTTTACAAAATCGTATTTATTACCTTTTAGCTCTTCGCCATTGAATTGATTAACGGAGACAATCCCTACTTTTTTATTCATAATTGCAATAACAAAATCGTGTAAGTCATAATTCTCATGCCGCCACGATTTTCAATCATCACCACACGTATGCATCTCTCAATGGCTTTAAGTTTTATGTGTTTAACCGGTAAATCTATTCCTCTCTGGGTCGTAAAAAATAGTAATTACCCCAAGAACATAAGGCTGATGAAGATTATGAAGATATTTTGTGTGGAATTATTCGTGTGAAGTCAAGGTGTTAAACATTGTACAATACATTTGTAACTCATGAGAAAATGTTGAATAAATATCATTCCAACTTTGAGATAAGAGAGCTAATTGGTGGAAAAATTAGTTCAGGGATTATGTAAATCATTTTCTCATCGAGATGTCACAATACTGTCCGTAGAGTGATTTAACGGGTCAAAGGCAATAGTTATTGCCAGTCACTCGATCAGTCATCCTGTTATCGATCAATGAATTTAAAGAGTGAGCACAGCAAATTGATTATTGTGAATTAGTCCGGGGAGTCGGTTGACCACATGTTATGAATTAAAATGTTTACGAGGAAATAGTGGGACTGGAAGTTTGAATTTTCCAAGTGGTGATTGGAGAGGGGAAATAAGGAGACGCTATCGGTGGATCGTTGAAGGCAATCGGCCATCGCTCGTCGCAGTCAACTCCCAGTGGTCTTTAACAACTCATGTGTTCTCTTAATTTATATTCGAAAGTTGGGACGTGAGTTGTCAGTTTCGTAATACAGCTGGAAATATCCCATGATAATTGGGAGATAAGAGAAAGTGCGGGAATGTGTGATCGGCATTCACAGATTTTTGGAGGATTCCTTATGGATTTGGAGGGGATGGGGTTGACTGATTGAAGCTGTGATCTCGACATTTCCATCGGTTTATGGCGCTTTAGGCTTGTCCCACTCAAGTTAAAATTAAAGAACACTATTTATAAATATTGTGAGTTGGTATTCGAGTAATTATTGCACGCGAGCTCTAGTTCATCGACTGCTAGCTCAGCTGCACATGTAGATACTGGGGGGATTTATTCGTATTCAAGGTTTGAAGGCTGTTTCTCATGATTTTCATTGGGTCTAATTAGCCATTCGTATGCATGCAGACTTTCAGAATTACAGTTTTAGTGAATCAGCGTATTTAGTTTGGTTTAGCGATTTATCTGAATTTTTGGACGAGCCATTGCAGCGGAATTGTTTTCATTTGCTCATGATACTTAATGGAGCTATTGAACTCTGACCATTGGACTTTTTCTAGACACGTGTTAGCAATTTTATATTGTTAGAGTAGCTCAGCTGGTTTTTTTTTCTTTTTTTCTTACTTACGCATTTTTATGCCCTGAGAAACAAACGACTTCTACAAAGTTAATTGACTCACTACAAAAAAAGTTAAGATATTTCAAATCTAAATGATCACATGCATTTCCTCGTAAGTCGATAAAAGTAAATGATAATAATTTTCATTTATTCAGTAGAAGTGATTTTTTTCTTCGTTTGGACGGACAGGAATGATTTTTTATGATAATTTGTTGCAGTTTTATTGATGAGCGTTGATAAGAGAGTAAAGTGAATAATGGAAGCAGAGGACAGGTACTTTCACTGGGCAGACTGGCTGGTATTTGCTCTGATGCTCAGTTGCTCAGCAGCTTCCGGTATCTGGCACTTCCGTAAGGCACTCAAATCAACGATTGCTGAATATATACTTGGAAGAAGTGGATTCACTGTCTTTCCAGTGTCTGCATCTTTAATTGCTAGGTCTGATTTTGTTTTTGAAGCAAAATGAATTTTTACGAAAAATAATTGCTTGATAATGGAAAATTCTCTCGTATCAATTTTCAATTCTCAGTGGAAAACTACTCTCTCATTCCGAGGGAATTTTTAATCGTTAATTAATTTTTTAATTATCAATTGGTGGTATTTTTTTAAGAGACGCGCTCAGAATTTTTATGTTCGTTTTTTTATTGTATATACAGCTTCATCTCTGGTGTGACTATCCTGGGAACACCGGCGGAGATTTATAACTTCGGAACTCAGTATTGGATAACTGTATTCTCTATTTTATTCGCTGGGGTTATTACAGCTAACGTCTATCTGCCAGTTTTTATGAAATTAAAACTCAACTCATGTTACGAGGTTCGTTCATGTATCAATTGAAGATACAAGTACTTCATTTTTCTGTCATTGAAAACTAAAGTGGTTTTATTATTTCGATTTTCTGTTACCGAATTTCAAATCAATATATTCTAGAAAATTTAGATTCCCATTTTACGATTGTTGAAACATATTGAATTACGGACCATGGAGTTGAAATATTAATTACTTTTTAGTATTTCTTAGGCTAATGAGCTGTTAAATTTTTCTCTGAACTTTCCGGAGCAGACTATGAATTTGGGTCACGAGGAAAAACGGAGGAATTTTCCGATTCTCTGAAAATCCTAGTAAAGTGATGAATCAAGTGCAACACAAGTTCATTTGACCATTAGACTATTTAAAACGATCCCCGGAAATTTCAATGGAAAATTTTGAACAGTGCGATGATAATAGGGAATGATGAAAATCAATGAATTTTTGCAGTACTTGGAGCTGCGTTTCAATCGCGGTGTGAGGATATTGATATCGCTGATATTCGTAATTGACGTGGTAAGGTAGCTAAATAATAAATGTAAAATATAGTCGAAAGAGGGAAAATGGAAAATGATGAGTAAGTGAATGATGATTAAATTTTCCCTTTGTTAAATAATGAAAATATGCAATAGGTGCTGTACCAATCGATAGTTGTGTATGTGCCAGCACTTGCGCTCAATCAAGGTATTTAAACCAACCCGAGCATTGAGAGTTTACCACCAAAGCTCCGGTCTGCCCAATTAAATAATTGATAATAAATCCATTGCAGTGACGGGAATCAGCATCTACTTGATTGGCGGCATTGTGTGCTTTGTCTGCGTATTTTACACAGTATTGGTGAGTAAAATTTGTTAAACTCCTTCTTTACGGTTTAGGGCGTTTTCTATACATTATGTTTCACAATTTTTTATTGTCGAGCAAAAGATGCTGAGGCTGTTGAAATATTCATACGAGGGAAAAGGGTGCGATGTAACAATGAAACTGAAGCAGACAATAGCCCAGAGGGTTATCGAGTAGTTCCCCTGGTCCTCAACAAAGCCTCTTGTTATCCAAACAACTTCAAGTGATTAATTACTTGTTGGTTTAATTATTTTAACAATTTGGTAAAGCACGGATTTTAAAGAAATTTGTTTACATTCACAAATGTTATCTGTTCGATCAAAACTACACTTTAACTTCGAGAAATTTATCGAACTTGAAAGAAATGCTCGTGTTCTGAATTTACATATTTTTTTAGTAAATTTATTACTTCACACATTTCACGTGTGGAAACTCTCCGATTTCTCCGATAAATAGTTATCATATCAATTACAAGGTATTGGATGAACGTAAAAAAAAGAATTTCGGTGTACAGGGCGGAATAAGAGCTGTTGTATGGACTGACGCATTCCAAGTGGTTGTAATGGTTTTCGCGGTAATCGCGGTCACCAGTTTGGGGACATACAACATCGGAGGAGTGGACAAGGTCTGGAGGATAGCCTCAGAAAATCAAAGGATTGAAGTATTGAAGTAATACGTTATATCAATTTGTCGTTAAATATTCCAAGTTCGTTTCTTTGAAATTTAAGTTCAATGAGTTTTCTGACCGACCAGTTACTTTACGCGATTAGTCGAATGCATAATGAAATTTTTCATTGCAGTTTTGATACTTCGCCTTTCACGAGACATACCGTATGGACTGTGCTAATTGGCTCCTGTTTATACAGCACTGCTTACATTTCCGTTAATCAAACGATGGTTCAGCGGTATAGCTCATTAACTTCAGAGAGAAGTTCAAAAATGTGAGTGAATGGGAGACTGTTTCCTGCGTTTAGTTCAATTTGACTTTTCAATTTTTTGTTTTGCGTTATTCATCATCATCCATGTTGGCAATTGGAATTGATAATTGATACCACGAAATGTGCAATATTTTTGTATCCAGAGCGATTTTAATTTTTACGATTGGAGTGATGTGCTTCATCTCATTAACTTGCTGGTGTGGCCTCGTGTTGTTTGCATGGTGGGCACCACCGAAATGCGATCCCAGGGCATCTGGGTTAATCAAGACTGACGATCAGATGTTGCCGGCTTACGTCATGGAAATTGCTGGCCATTTGCACGGTATTCCGGGGATCTTCGTTGCTGGAATATTCAGTGCAGCATTGAGGTACTCATTAATTCGCTGTCTAACTCTGAATGGAGCTATTGATGATTATGATGATGGTTTTTGTTTCAGTACCCTTTCAGTGGGGCTAAATTCAACTTCAGTGGTCCTCCTTGAGGACTTCGTCAAGGGGTGTTTTCAGTTAAAGCCGAATGATCGGTGCTCGACCATTTTTGTGAAGGCTGTTGTTGTTTGTTTGGGATTTTTTGCCATGGGCTTTTTATTTATTGTTGAGAAGATGGGGGGTGTTCTTGCTGTGAGTGAAAATTCAATAATTCTCGCTTTCAAGTCACATGACTTCCGACTTATTCAATCAATTTTCGTCACTCATTCTTTAAATTTATTGTCAAAGGTGACCGGAAGTTTAGCTGCCATTGCTGCTGGCACATCATTCGGGGTCTTCACCCTAGGCATGTTGTTCCCTTGGGCAAATTCGAAAGTATAAATATATCCTTAATCATCCTTATCAGAAAGTATCATCATTTGTTACGTAATTAAACAATTAGTTTCATGTTTGATTGCCGGGCAGAATATTGTCGAGTAATAAAATGGCGAAATATTCTTCATTCTAAAAAGTAAAGCACCACGGCTATTTCTAGGGTGCCTTCACCGGGGCTGTGACGGGATTCCTGGTGGCAGGATGGTCGAGTTTGGGAGCTAATGCTATGGTTGCTGCCGGTGAAATAATTCCGAAGAAACTCCCAGTCCCTCTGACATCGTGTCCCAGTAATATCAGTGACAGTTTTCTAAATCAATTTCCCCCGAATCACAGGTGAGTCCCTCGCGGGGAGCAGAAGAAAAAATCATCGACCCACGAAAACCCATCTTTAATTCCAGCAAGTTAATCAATTCCTAATTGTCGCGTGTTAATCGATTCTGTTGATTCAGCGAGGACAATGTTTTTCCACTCTATCGGCTGTCTTATCACTGGTTCGCGGGACTGGGAACTGTCATTGTCATTCTAGTTGGTGGCTTTATGTCCTGGCTGACGGGACCAACCAATCCAGCCAATGTCGACAGAGATTTACTCTCTCCAGTTATTCATAGGTAAAATTCAATGGCACTATTCCTATTAGTAAATTTCCAGTGAGTAAGGTTTTTGGGAAAAATAATTGCAGATTCTTGCCGAAGCCAATATACACGACTCAAATCAAGAGAGGATCTCAAAATGTTCCCCCAGGTAGCTATCCTGAGGCTTCCAATTTGATACTCACAGATATCCCCAGGAGAGCATCTCAAACAATTAATTCATACCAGGTACACCCCAAAATAATTTAAAAAAAAATATGCAGAAGGAAAAAAATTCCTCAGAAAGTATCTGCAGTATCTACAGTTCAAGTTCCATTAACATGAAATGCTAGAACCAAATGATTTGTCCCGGAAATAAAAAGATGAATATTCATTCTCCGAGTAGTTAACGATAATAATTCTTGTTTGTTACAGGCACGTCCAACACCAGTTTGACCCCATCCCCTTTTATATTCATGAGAATCTTATTTAAAACTTAATGCTAGAGAATTTACGATAGTTGAGGGCACAGTTCAATTTTTGTACACACAGAATAAATGAAGTTTATTAGATAATGAGAGGTTGTCTGGCAGGAAGTTGACGCCATGGGCATTGATCAGTTGGGGGGGTCTGGGTGTCTGAGAATTCATCAAGCTCCACTAAGTACAAAATTGCTCCTGTCAAATGCACTGTTAGAAAATTAGTCTTAATATTTCAACTAGAAAAAAAATGAACAACACGAATTTTATACGAAATTTCGAGAGTAATTTTTTAACAGTGCAAATGCTTCTTGGTAAAAACAATTTTTGTCTTGGCGTTTGGATTGATCTTCTTCTTCAACGCCATCAATGGACCCCCGAGTTCCTGGTAACTGAGTTTGTTTGGTTTTCAAGCTTAGATGATTCTTGGTGACCGGCGGTCAAGGCGAGAACGGGTGTATTAACCATCTTGTTAGGGCAACATCAAACATCCTTATTAAAGCTCAAGCACAAATAGGCACTGTGTGCTCGTTTACTCGACTTCTCTGTGCGTCTAATTCAATTTTCGAGGGGTCAGAGACATGAGATTGGGTCAATATTGAAATATATTCCACGACTGTCCAGGTTGGGATCTTCACACGCGGGAAGAAAAATGGTAATCATGACAATGATATAATACCATAACTACGAAAATAAAAATTTTACGTTTGGATTAGATGACTTTATGCAATTTCTGCATTTTTTTTTCCTCTAGATTTTGGGTGGAGGCAATGGCCGAAAATGGGGAAAATGATTTTTCGTCCTGGTAGAGGAGCTATAAATGCATCGATTGAGTTGTGAAGGGTGAGGTGGGGCGTGCGGGTGAAATTGGGGGTGAGCAGGGGTTTGTAAATCGAGATCGCGGGAAATGCACGCGAAACCCCGGGAGTGAGAGGTTGTAGTTTGAATGGGGGCTAGTTTGAGATAGTTAGCGGGCCTTCAGGAGTACAATCGGCCGCGATTGGTTGAGCCCGGCCTACAATCACAGCCCAGAGCCGAATTACATATCCTTTAACGTTGAGATCCCTTGCAAATCTGTGCACGCACGTTTTAACTATTTGGGCATAATCAATTCTCCGCGAAAAGTGGAATTTTTCCTCCTCATTGCCCGACACTCCAAGGAGAAAAAAAAATAAACAAAAATTGGTGTGAATTTTATATTTTTCGCAAGAGTGAAATTAATAATTTATCTTGAGCAGTAAAGCCCCCTTTTATCCAATTTTTTTTTTCAATTTTCCCCGCGTTAGTCGCGACTGATAGACCCATTGAATCGGAGAAGGAGAAAAATTATTGAAAAGTTCACGGTGTGAGGGAATAAACCAAATATTGGCTTTAACGTTTTGGTGCGGATATGGTACGTGCGTTAACATAACGTCGAGTGTACTCGAAACGTTGCAAGCTCCTTGACAAATATTAGCGTTTCGTAGTCTAATCCCTTACCCCGAAGTCACCGTACTCTCTTGGAATTATCTCGACCATGGAACTGAGGATTCTTCCCGAGTTAATTGGACACTGGAGTTATTACGAACTTGTGCAATTGTGGTGAGAGGGAAGATCCAAGAGATGTGCAATTGAATCAATTGAAACTCCTGAATGTAATACTAAGTATGTAATTGGATAGTAACAAGATGTACAGAGATCCACATGGAGGAAGAACCCACAGTAGTATAGCAATAAATATTATTCGAATCTTGGAATATAAACATTTTGAGGGAATTTAATACCCCTGGAAATCCTTGAAATCTAACACAAATGAAATGTAAAATTAAGACAGTGGAATTGGTTGCAATGCCAGCCGTTTAATTCAATGTTGAATTAAACACCGATGTTAGGAATAAGTGAATACGTATGTGGTAACAAGCACGCCGGTCGATCCGCGGAAACCTCAGATCAAATACACCGACGGAGTTCTCTCGTGTACTGCAACGACAGACGACTAACGGAATAACTAATTTATCAATTCTTCGGTTCGGTTGGCTTCGATTCACGGCGAGAGACTATTTACCCACTCGTGCAAACACCGTCCGTTCACCAAACCTACCTATAACCCTCCTTTCCCCTACGGCCACCTCTTTTACCTATACCCACTGATTTCACTCTATATCATTGCGTATATTTGTACCGAAATCGCCCCAGGAGACACTGCTCGATCAACAATGTCTTTCAAGGCAAATTCTCTGCCAATCAAACACTTCGATCTTCGGGGAACGAGATGTTCAGTCATTTTATCGCAGTTGGACACTTTAATTTTTCAATTTTTTTTTATCATTGCGTCGGGAATATTCATCGTGGGAAATTTTCATTGAGTGGAAAATAATCTTCATGAAGTGCCGAAGGCACTTACTCCATAAAGCGTAAAGTTTGTCGCATCACTAAAACGATGGCCAGGTTGCGGCGGGTAGTGATCCAGTACACAGGACTGTAAAATATCAATTCCCATTTTTGCATGAAATGTGGAAGGGGCAAGATGAAGTTTTACGAGAATATTCATCCTCCACAGTATTTCATGGTAATGATATTTACGAGGAATTGTGTCCCGGTTAACTGTCATATGCCACACGGATGGAAAGCCCGTTCGCATCCGGGTGAAGACATTAAGCGTAATGAATTACCAGACTGTAGTCCGGAGTAATGTGTCTTAATTATGCCCAGGGAGCGGGCCAACAATAATTATGTAATTAGGTATTGTTTGGGCAAACGGAGATGGGAGCCCCTAATCACAATCCAAATGTGCCGGTTGCCTCGTCAACGAGACAATCTAGTGAATCGTGGGAGGGCTATCGATCCGCTTTCATGTCATCTCCCCTTCACCCCCTCATCCATCCCCATCGCCACCCACCACCCCGATCGTTTCTCAAAGTTCCGTCTTTCTCTTCCTCATCATCATAATTCAACGGATGTGTATCTAAACAGTGGCTTACAACACGCAAATGTCAGCGTTGAAATTGAATTTGTCTCTTCTACCTTCGCTAATGGGGACCAGGGAAAGACCGAAAAGTTGGGGATAAAATGCTGAAGAAATTTACTAATCCAAAATGTACATGTCTCATCGTGTCACGAAGCGGGGAGACGTTGGTGCATTAATATTTATACGAGGAATCAAATTCTCCAAAGCCGTCAGAATGATAGCGTGAGGAGCTCGTGAGAGGCGCAAGACAAACATCGCCGAGGGGTGCATCGTGTCTTCAGCCAGTCGAGTGTCTCGAGAGCTTTAAAATCCTAGGGTTAACGTCTCTAACCAGTGGGTTAACGTGATTTTAGGAAATTTACATGGATTTTAGCGTCTTTAGCGGGCACCCAGTGAATTATAAATTTTCTTGAATTTTTTTAAAGATTATAATGAGAAAAGGAGGATTTTCTATTTTCAATTTTCTATGAAGAAAAAAAATCATCAAGCCATTAGTTCGGTAATTTTTTAAATGAAACGATAAAGAATTAGAATTAGATTAAAACGAAAAAGAAAAATAATGACTCCAACAACTTGTGCTGGAGTGATAAAGGACTGAGACAATAGGATGGAGAATAATTTATAATTTCATGCAAGTAAGTTTAATAAACCCAAAGGTAGAGGAAGTGGGTACAGGCATTCATCAGAAAGTACCAAGTGAAGTGCTGAAGTGTACGTGCAACCAAGGGGAAGGAAGGAGGGGGTTATAAATACATCGCGAAGACACCCCTTTTCAGTAGAAAAAGACAGTGGGTGGGTAGAATTTTCCCCTCACACACAACTACGATTTCAACTCGACCAATTTGCATATCTAAAGCCTAGACGTCTTGACGACGAGCTTTTGTCTGGCCCGATTAAATTCACCCAAAAATGTCCTGAAATAATAATTCCATTAATGAGTTTCGACTCGACGAAATCCTCTTAATAATATTTACTCTGAAAACATCGAGCGAGACTGAATATTCCACGCGGAACCGACACGCGATAATATAGTGGATATAATCGTATGTAAATTTGAAAAAAAAAAGGGAATTGCGCTGCGAAAAATGATTTTTTAAGAAGGAACACAGAGACTCTATCGCAAATCTCAGTTTTATACTGTAGGTGGTGACCACACCGGAGGTTTCCACTGCATTTACTGGGGGAGAACTCAAAGAGGGAGATTTATGATGTTGCGGATACGTAACACCACAACTCATTCTCTCCACTTATTATGGAAATGATTGGGAATTGTTAGGTACACTCGTGAACGAACAGTACAAACAGATAATGGATAATTACTAGATCGCATAATCGTGGAATGGAGTGGGCAAACTTGACTTGACTCAATGAAAAAAGAATTATTAAAAATAATATTGAAGAAACATTTTGAGTTTTTAAAACTGACACTCCCCTAGCAATTTTTAAAATGAAAAATTTAAGTGTAAAATGGGGGAATCGAGTGACTATTGGTGAAAATAAATATAATAATTTGTCGATGGGATTTTAATTCAACGTACACGGTATGTACAGAGCCTGCCTATCGAAAACTCAGTGGCAGTGGTTAGCGTCAATCGTTTCGACAATGACAATCACCGTACGAACGATTCCCGCAGGAAGTTCACGCTAATTAATATAACCAGTGACAATTCGTTTGGAATTGACAGTAAAATGCGTAGAAGCCCACAGGTGTGCTTCTCTCTCTAGTCCGAAACATGAGGCGTTTGGTAGAAACGGTTGCATCGCAATTTGTCAGGTGCCAGACGAGAGACGGGAATAAATGGACAATTACACAAATACAATGTTTGACGTCATTTCAATGACGCGAGAGACAGCTGTGATTGATTGTTAATTGCCTCGGTTTGTTACCCCCATCCATCGAGTGATGCAGCGATGGGAGAGGGGTATCCCAACTAATTCAATTAAACTACATCGATCACCACAGTTTTCCGCACATTTTCCCCCAATTTCTTTTCACTGTTAGAAGAACTTTGAAATGTCATCCAACATCGACTAGTCATTTTCAACTCCTCCTAAATCGTCTAAATCAGTAAGAGTAAAAGAAAAATCTATTCACCAGAATTTTTGAGAAGAATTAACTTTGTAGAAATTGAAAATAAAATTCCGCAAT